ATAAGATCCCATCCATGCGAGAATGTCTGTCCGGGAGAAGGGCCTGAATAATGAGATAAACCGCGAGTCCTGCCCGGGTGGGGACTCTCGGCCTGTATTCTTTTTTGATATTGATAACTGTGTATGTATATTATGCGAAAGAAGAGCAGCTCGGATTTCAATATCATAATTGCCTTTTAATTTGTAATCTATCTCGGAATATCAACTGACTATATATCTGCGTTGGCGCTTCACAGCTCTATTCTAGAAGTAAGAACCAAAACCCCCTTAAAAAACATGTCTTGGCCCATTCAGTCATCATCGTACACACTCGCATATGCTGAGAATAAATCAGGTAATAAAATTCATGATTTAATGCATGACCTCATCGGTAGGTACCACCCCCAAATCTACCCATTTCATGCTCTGTAGCCATAAATATTAACCATCCATGTAGACGCCTTCTTCATCCAACACCTCTCCCTCGACCCTGCAGACGCAACAATGCTCCACCAAAAATACTACAAAGAATACGGCCTAGCAATCGAAGGCCTAGCCCGCCACCACAAGATCGACCCGCTCGAATTCAACAGCAAGGTGGACGACGCCTTGCCTCTCGACTCCATCCTAAAACCAGACCCACAGCTCCGCTCCCTTCTGCAGGACTTCGACAACACCAAGGTGAAACTGTGGCTGTTCACGAACGCCTACGTCACCCATGCCACGAGGGTGGTGAAGTTGCTAGGCGTGCAGGATTTGTTTGAAGGGATTACGTTTTGCGACTATGCGGCGTCCAAGTTGGTGTGTAAGCCTGAGGCGGCGATGTATGAGAAGGCGGAGCGGGAGGCAGGGGCCACAGAGGAAGCGGGAAGTTATTTTGTTGGTAGGTTTGATTAGATGCTCTTATTCTTTGTTGAGTATATGTTTATTCTGACATTCTTTATTTTATTTTTTTTAAAAGACGATTCTGCCTTGAATTGCAGACATGCACAGGCGCGCGGCTGGGAAACGGTCCATTTCGTGGAACCACATATTACTCCACCGGAGGCGCCAGCGTCGAAGTATCAAATTCGATCCCTTGAGGAGCTTCGGGACATTTTCCCGCAGTTTTTCAGGTCTAGGAATAGGACGGGTTAGAATGGGTTTCTAACTATTTCCTACGGTTATACTTTTTGAAAAGAATATGTTTCATTGTACCTCTGTAGAGTTATATTAGACTCACGAGCACAGGTAGGATCATACAAAAGTATAGGGCGTATTTTGTGATATTTTTGAGATATACCCATGAAAAAAGTCAAGATATTTTGTTCGTTTGGTTTGAAGTTCTGTGTAAATTCAAAATTATTCATATAGACGAAACGGGACGGATGGATGGGGATGATCGCGTGATGAGTGATTACAGATTCTATACGGATAATCCAAGGAAGAGCAAGCACCAAGTCCAATTGTGTTCTTGAGGAAAGGGTATATATAATAGAAAGGAAACTGTACAAATCCCCCACACTAAAACTTGCTAACCAAGTCTCTTTAACCTAAAAAATGACGAGCTAGATTTCATTAGAGAAGGAAGAAGGACAAAACAGTGATGAATCTCGATTTATTCCGTAGTACAATCTGGATTCGGAAAGGCAAGAGGCCTGGGATTCCCCAACGCATCACACGGATTGAAACGCCATGCGCCTGCATACCGCCGCTCAAGAACGAATTTCGAAAGGTATTTGACAAACGTCGGGACAGGTGGGTAGATTAGAGGTTTACCATCCAGAAGGAATGTGTTATCAATACAGCCCAACATTAGCGGTGCATTTCTGTAAACTAAGTCAGCAAAGAAGGAGTTTTAAGTTGCTCTTCAATAGACAAGATGAGATGAACGAAAGAAAACCACAGGAAAGACCCAAAAATATCATACCCGAATGGATCAACATGTTTCTGCGCGTATTTAGAGGTAAGGTGCCACCAAGGCTCCAATTTTTTCGCATCATACTTTGCAAGATCGAGGAGCGTCGGGATCTCTTCCGTCAAATGCTTATGGAGCACTGGTCCTAGATCATGTAGGAGCCCCTGCAATTTTTTCCCGTCATACGACTTAGCATCAACCTGAAACACATATTCACGTAACTTCTCAAGGCTTTCCTCGAAGTCCTTGTGCTGTTGTATATTTCGGTCCATGATGTCTTGTATTCCGGTGAGTTTCACCAGTTCGGGAAACATGAAATCTTCCTCTATGTCGTGGTGGCTACGTATATTGTTATACAAGGCTTTGTTGTAGAAGATAAAGTCAGTCGCATCGACGGTGCCCGGTTTGATGGCGAGACACTGGTTGTACGAAGAGTTGAATGAGCGGATGATTCCGTTGTGGAGGCTGGCCATGTTCTGGGCACAGGTAATTGCGAAATGGCCATCTGGGATATCAGAGCGTTCTTTGAAGCGTGTCTCTGAGATTAATCTCAATGGCGTGTCGGCCCATGGTTTTGACATATTGGAGGTATCTAGAAGATAGAAGAATCAATAATTGCCAACCGTAAAAGTAAAGGATATCCGATATCCAGCGAAAACAACAAGAGTGACATATAAGGTAGTAGATTTTACTGCTTTGCTATTCAAGAGTGAGCTTTTCAGTCTCAATCAGAAGATCCTGGCCAAGTTTACCAAAGAGGTATATATAGAATTTACTTAAAGAAAAGCTTAACTGCAAGCTTGAGAGGGGTGGGAGGGGAGGATCTGTGGAGAAAGGGAGGGCGGACCTGCCCAATCGATGCAGGAGGATATGTCATAAGAGGGCTGACATTTTTTGATAAAGGGAGGATTATTAGAGCTCACGCACCGATACCGCAGACTTACCTTAACATGAAGGACGCATGATGAGCTGGGCCAATCACATGGAAGACGTTGGCTTCCTCCAACATGGTTTCATTCGAGGAGGGGACCAGATGGTCTGGAGCGGTTCGCTCAAGGGGGATGAATGAGAGCTTGTCGATAAAATTAACTTTGGCAAAGCAGGCGCTGGCAGATGCAGGTTGGAGGCATTACCTGCTCCAATACTACAGCTCGTAACCGAAGAAAATGAGCCTCAATGGATATATTCATGATTGGTCTTCTATCATGAGCTGAAGACGAGGCTGAAGAGGCGGTGAGTGGTTGAAGGAATGTATGCTGGGTCGAACAAGGTCGTGCCTGGTTTTGATTGTGAAAGATACATCTTTCACAACTGAGCCTCTTCTCTTGATCCATTTCTTCTCTTCTCACAGGGTCGAATTACTTTTGTCGTCATACGAAGATAAAAATAAAACCGACAGTGGTTTCTCTCTGGCTAGGTTTCCTGTAGAATTATACGAGGTGATTAACCAGGCATTGTTAAGCCACTGAGCCATCAAATGGGGTTGAGTTGGGTTGGTATGGCATGTCGAGCGCTCTAGAATACCGAGATCGTGCGCTAGAGGTAAAAGAATGCATGAACTCGAAATCCACAATTTTCTTCTTCCACTCCATATGACATCGTGTTAAAAAGGTTCTCTCCTCTGTATCTCATGCACTCCCCTCCCACTAGTGCTACCCCGTGTTGAGTATGATAATTCATCTCCATTCCCTTCTCTGACTTCTGGTGTACATATATTTAATTCTCATCCGTTATTTGCCATCCTCACAGTGTCGTAGCAGGCTTCATTTAAGACCCCTGAGAATGGCCAACAGTTTTGCTATTCTGGTCAATTTTCCGGGTGTGCAATGGGGTAAGGTGTGACCTGTTCTCAAGCTGTTACCGGGCCAGCTGATAACTTGAGTCTCTTCAGACACGCGAATTCTACGATCTTGTACCGTGTATGTCACCAGTTGGGCGATGATTGCCTGCTTTCAAAATGCACATGACTAGCCACATCTGAAAGATGACAGGACACAAGGAGAGGTGGGAAGGTTTTCGAAGAGGAGGCATTCTTTGCTGATGCCAGATATTTTATCCGGACCTCGACGAATCCCATAAAGAATGCCTGAAGATGTTTTCCCTTGGGGATACTGGCCAGGTACCAATCTCTAGACCGATATAACTCGGAAATGTGGTGAAAAACCTCAACCTCCCTTCCAACTGTTTCTAGATAAGCTGGGAAAGACTGTTTGAGATGATTACTAAGAAGCAACTCAGGGAGAGATGGTAACTAGCCGTTCTTTGGGTCTCGGCGTCAACTGACAGCTACGGACTGCTGCCAAATCGTTTCACTGTCTGCCCTAGTCGATTTTGCCATCCTCCGGTCACATCTGTCAGACCTTTGCATCCTGGAAGGCTTGATTTTGGTGAACCATAAGAATCTCTGCTCGGTATTTATAATTTTCCTTTCTTGTATTAAACTTGATTGGAATCCGAAATTTTGGCAGGTAATTGAATGGTCCCCATTTTCCTGTGAATGTAGAAGCAGGAGATATCATAAAATAAAATGGAATCCGAGTCTCATAATGTAGACAAGGTGTTCCCGGGAACAATTTGGAAAGTATTTGAGACTCAACGATTTTTAAGTTGCCTTTCGAAAACAGTTTCAATATTATTCTTACATGAAGAGTCGCACGGTTTTGATGGTGATGTAGAGACCAGGAGTGTCTGAAGATATCAGCCGTACATGTAGTTACCATGTGAGAGCAAAGCCAGTCCAGTCGGTAACATGTCCTGTAGTAGGCCTTGGAGAACGGGCCAGTAACATCAATATCATCTCATGTTGATGAAGTGAAGGCGGTTTTGAGGTTGGAGAGCGAGAGAGCGAGATATCGTGGTGGAACGCGTTTGTCTTGTTTGTCTTGTTTTGTTGTCGCGGTCCCACGTAGTCTGCTTATTAAGGGGTCGGTCAATAAAATAGTTAACTAGTAACTAACAAACGAGCTACAACAAACATTTTTATGGATTGAACTACGGAGTTCAACCTCCAACAACGCCCATAGTAGTATAGAGACAGCCTGTCAGGAACAAGACGTTTCAGCTGATCGGGCCAATCTCACTCCGCATTCCCTTCTGATGCACAGTCCCAAGTCTCGTCTGAAAAATGGGTGATCTTTCCCCTGGCCAGGTTGTCACTCTGGCTGATGACAGAAAGGCCGTAATCCGCTTCATAGGGGCTACCAGCTTCGCCCCTGGAGATTGGGTTGGTGTGGAATTGAGTGAGCCAACGGGGAAGAATGACGGATCTGTTCAGGGAGAACGATACTTCGACTGCGAACATGGTTTCGGAATGTTCGTCAGGCCCGCTGCGGTTGCAGCTATTTTGGAGCAGCCCAAAAGGGAAGAGCGGAAGCCAGCACCGAAAGGAGGTTTAAATGAAGTGCCCCAGAGAGGGAGACCGCCCAGTGGCCTCGGGCCAAAGAGGCAAAGCGGGATTGGGTCAACTGCTGTTAGAAAACAGAGTACTACTTCAAGCCCTTCCCCTGCTCCTAGAGCTGGAGCATCTCCTCGACTTCTCAGAGTATGGACCCCGCAATTTGATATCTCATGGTCATGGTCTAACGTTGTTTGTAGTCTCCTACAAAATCGCCTACAAAACAGTTGTCAGTAACCTCGCGAACAGCGACCACAACGACACGGTTGCCCGCCACGGGTCTGAAACCCAGACAGAGTTTGAGCGGCCGTAGCTCAATGGCCATTCCTCCTACAACCACAGCTTTCAAGGGCCCCCGACAATCAGTGGAAGGGCTAACGATCAAGTCTTCTAGTCCACTTTCTCAGCAACCACTCCCTACCATAAAGTCTCCGCAAAAACGATTTTCACTGAGACCTACACCCACCAAGACATCAACCCTTGAGAAAATTGAGAGCGCAACAAGTGAATTGAGTGAGGAAACTGGAGATAGTGGATACTCGAATTCGCCCCCCGAATCGAGTAGACCGACCCCGGCACCGCAAGCCTCTCTAGGCCCATCACCGCACCGATCCGTTTCCGGGACGAATACTGTGCTTAAGGAGGTGGAAGATCTTAAGACTAAGCTGAGGGTCATGGAGAAAAAGCGAGTGGAGGATCGGGAGAAGCTCAAGTCGCTAGAAACATTGCGATCGGAAAGAGATAAATTCGAGAGTATCATTCAAATACTACAAACAAAGTACCAACCACAACAACAAGAGATTGCACAGCTACGGAAACAGCTAAAGGATGCTGAGGCTAGAGTTGAGGAGGCGGAACGTCTTCAAGATGAACATGATTCTATCGTTGAAATGGCTGCCCTCGATCGCGAAATGGCCGAGGAGATGTGTGAGGCTATAAAAACTGAGTATGAAGCGTTGAAAGTGAAATCAGAGGAGCTGGAACTAGAAATCGAGGTGCTTAGGGAAGAAAATCAGGAGCTAGGTCAAGTTATGAGTCCAGAGGAAAAGTCAAGCCAGGGCTGGCTCCAGATGGAACGGACGAATGAAAGGCTTCGCGAAGCCCTCATACGCCTCCGCGATATGACGCAACAACAGGAGGCCGATTTACGTAACCAGATCAAAGAACTGGAGGGGGAGCTGGAGGATTTCACTACCATCAAAGCCAACTACGAGATAGCAAAGGAGCAGCTATTAATCTCTGAAGCCAATATGGAGGATTTGAAGCAGCAAGTTGAAGCTCTTGGAGCTGAAGAGATGATTGAGGAACTGGCCGAAAAGAATATGCAGTATCAAGAACAAGTAAATGAGCTGAAAGCGGTGATTGAAGATCTTGAAAGCCTGAAAGAAATTAGTGATGAGCTAGAGAATAACCATATTGAGACGGAAAAGCAACTCCAAGAGGAAATCGACTTCAGGGAGAGTGTCTATCTTGAACAAGGGCGAAAAATTGCTCAACAGGACGAGGTTATAGAGGACCTGGGCTATACCTTATCCAAATTTCGAGAGCTGGTCACTAATTTACAGAGTGACCTCGAGGACATGCGGGTATCGCAGCAACTTACAGAAACGGAGTCGACAGAGCTAACCGCACGGTCAAGAGCGATGATGGACCTGAACATGAAACTTCAAGCCTCCGTATCAAAAGCTCAGATGAAAACGATTGAGGTGGAACTAGGCCGTATGGCAGCTGAAGAATCTGCGCAGCATTTGGAGATTATGAAACTTTACCTCCCGGAATACTTTGAGAGCGAACGGAACCCAATTCTTGCTCTACTACGGTTTAAGAGAGTTGGTTTCAAGGCATCTCTCATGGGCACCACAGTACGGGAAAAAATATCCGATGCAACCTCCACGACGTCTGGTGATCATAATGTCTTTACGGCATATGAAGTCCTTGAGAAGTTAACATGGATAGCCTCCCTTTGTGACAGATTTATTAATTTTATCAGCAGCTGTTCAAACGAGGAGTTCTCCACTTTTGAAGGAGCTTTGTACGAACTGGAGCCCGTGGAACGTACGCTTAATTCCTGGATTGAGGGGTTGAAGAAAAATGAACTGAACGAAAAGATATGCGCTGTTGAGCTTCAAAGATCAATCGCATTACTCTCTCATCTTGCTGAAACACTCATTCCATCCAGTCTGGAATCGTATGCTGATGAAATTTACATGCGTTCGGTCATGACACAGACTTATCTAGAATATGCAGCGTTATCCTTTTCTCAGTTGAGAACTACGCTGCAAGCGAAGCTTCCATCGCCAAGCGATGAGGATGAGGAGGCTCCTTTCCTGTATCAAAAAATCGACGCCTTGGGTAATCAAACCCGAAGCGGGAAGATAGTAGCCGGCAAAATCACCCGGTATTTGGATGATTTAAAATCAAGATGTCTTGCATTGACTGGTGACTTTGCAGACAGCTTTGAGAAGTGCGAGGGAGCTGCTAAGGAGGTCGCCGAGCTTGCAAGACAGCTTGGAGAAAATATTGTGCTACTGGCGGGAGAAGAAGGGCGGACAGAGCCAATTACGTATGCAGAAGTTGCTGCAAATATGTCACAGACGGTTATGCTTCTTTTCCAACCATCTGCTGCTTCTGCGGAATCTAACGATAATAACCCTCTATCCATTGCTTCCAATAAACTACGTATTTTGGGAGCGTATCTCGAAAAGGCCTCCGATGCCTCGTCCGACCTAAGCCAAACTGTTGAGTTTGAACGTCACCCCGCTCCTTGGACTATCCGTGCGAAAGAGCTCAAGTTGAACAAAGTTATTTCTCCAGATGCAGACGAGGAGATTCGGCGTCTGAAAAATGAAATCCACGAAACATCCACTGCACTTGGCGCTAAAGACAAGGCTTTCGAGGAGCAAACAATCAAGATTGAGCTTCTTGAATCGAGAATGCGCGACGCCGGAAAGAAGGCTGCATTGGTTAAGGAACTCGAATCCAAATTCGATACATTGCAAGCCAAAGAACAAGAATTAATGGATATTGTCGAGAAGCAGTCAGCTGACCTGCAAAATATGGAACGGGAGAGGGATGATTACAGAGCTCGACTAGAAAAAGCGAAACGAGCTTCGGGATCTTCTGGCGTTTTGCTTGGAGCAGATGGCGTATTAACTATCGATGCCGCCGCTTCTTCAGCAGTGATGAGAGAAAACGAATCGCTACGTGCAGAGGTTGCAAACTTGCAAGCGGCTGTCCGCTTCTTGCGCGAAGACAACCGCCGCGCGAATTATATGGATCCTTATTCTGTACAACGAACAAATCACATGCGTGCCTGGCTTGATACTCCTCTAGTTCGTCCCAAGATTGCTGCTGATGACAAGCGGGCGATTTGTAATGCCGCATCTGAATGCCAGGATGTTCTCACGCATCTTCTGAAGCTAACTAAAGAGTCTAAGCTAGTGGATCTCAAATCCACTCTACCCGTTGATGAAGCAAGTCGTCTTTCCTGGAGACCAGTTAAGTCGACAACTAGATACCAAGTTCTTCGTCAGCGAGAGGAATACGAACAGTGGACTCAATGGAAAGATGAAGTCGCGCGGCGTGAGCGTGCCCGGGCGCGGAAGGAGGCCAAAGCCATCAGGAAGCATTTTCGCTATCCGGATACAACGGGGGTGGCCGCTGAAGTTTCATTTCCTCCGACGTCTGGCTCTCGAGGGGCAGAGTCTTTCAGCGATGCTAGAGAGCAGACTGCTACAACCAAAAGTCGAGGGGTGATGGACCGGGCTTGGAAAATCTTGGGGATGCAGAGAGATTTCGATTCGAATGACGGTTCCGAATATGGTGATCCTGAGGAAGTCACTATCGTCAATGCTTAAAAGAGAGATGCATCTTTTTTCTCATGGCCTAGGCAAATCAACATTTTTTCTCTTTGGAGTCATTCAAATCCGACCCCTTCGCATCCACAGGGTGGTCTTTGCGCCGCCCCGCAAGTCCCCTTTATTTCCACCCTGAGACGCTGCATCTGACTACATTTCATTTGCATTTTTCCGCTGGTATATTGAACAATAAATTGGCCTTGGGCTGTGCCTTTCCTAGTTCTTTCTTCACTTCTTAACACAACATGAGATTTGGAAGCCTCCATCCATATTGATTTCCTTTCCTTCACCTCCTTTTCCATATACAATGGAGAAAACCTAACAGTACTTGCAGATGCACATGATGGGTGCGTTGTTTGCTTGCTTCCCTCCTTTACCGTATAGACGTACGTTGCTCCATGCCGGTTTCTTTTCGTTGCTCCCGCTGTCTACATATGTGTGTAAGATACCCGTTCGAGATTTCCTTTAGATTGTTTTCAGCGCTTGTCTTCGTTCCTGTTCTCCAAGCGTATTTCTGTACTTTATTTTGCTCATTGAGCATTGTTTTCTTTGTCCTTTGGACACTGTGGTTGCAGTTTGACGATGTATCACTTTTATAGGGAGGAGAGAATTTAAAATTACAAACGGAGGATTTTATATGCAGATGATATCAGGGGATGTTACTATTAATATTGACAGCGGACACAGGAGGTCAGTGATTTTAGAGGCACGTTTTTTAGCCGTCTTTTCCGTGACACACACACTCTCTCTCTACCTTTATGTACAGTGAGGTTTTGGCTGCCATGCAGCTAGTGCATCCAAAATCCAACCATGAAGTATTCTGAAGTATTCCCGCTGACAAAAAACCAAAAGGGGTATGATTAAAATGACTAGGAAGCTAGTCTTTCAAGGGGTGAAGTGATTTACAACACGCATCCTTGCTAAGGAAGAAAGTTTAAAAAAAAAAGACTTAAGGAAAGGGGGAAAAAAAGAAGAAAAGGAACAGCTTCCAAACACTGCTTCCGTCACCAGTCCAAATACAAAGACTACCTCTGAATCCACCGACAAAGACCAAGTCAGTCCCAATTACAATAACCAAAGATTACCGTTGAGAATCCCTTCAAACAGCAAGGTTCCAGTGGAAGGAATATTAGCTGGGCAGCCCGGCTGTGGGCTGTTGTCCGTATATACATGTAAATCTGAAAGTTTGGGCTGTAGTCTCTACAACGCACAACGTGAAACGGGAAGTGAGTAGGGAGGTGGGAAATTTCCGGAACAAACAGTGTGAATGTTAGAGGGAGAAGGATCTCGATGGAAACTTGGGTTGGGGGTCGTGTTTGTTAAAGGAGACGTTTTTGTTAAGGGAGTGAAAAGCCTTTCTCTACTTTGGTGGTGGGGTGAGAGCTTGATAGTCGCGAACCCCCAAAGCTCAAAGTTTATATAGTCGGTTAAGTTTCGAAGGATTGAAACTCAACCTTACATTGAATTGCTATAAATAAGAAGAAGAAGAAGAAGAAGAAAAATGGTAGGGGGTTTTAAAAGGCGAATCTAAAATTTTCCGGCGCGATATCTTTTTGAAACAGATGCGGCTGACAATGGTCGTAATCAGCTTCGTAAACAGTGGGGCACAGCTCCTCAAAACGCGAAACGGACGCCTTGTTGCTGTTGACCATGTAGGAGGTTGTTGGCACCATGGACTCAAATTCCTTGTCCAGAGTCTCAAAGATTATAGACGGTGGGGCAGGGACAGTTGCCGCCGTTATGGCGCTGGAGAGTGATGGAGTACGTCCTGTGCCAGCCATCGTGGACATGGTGGCTGATGAAATGGTGGAATTGCTTAGGGTACGGGAATGGGAGGTTGATTGGCTTGTATGCTGCGGGCGTGTGGGGAAGGGAATCCAGGCGTTCTGAGTTGTTGTGTTGGGATGATGGGCTGGTGGCTTGGGGAAGAGCCACTGTGTTACCTTTTGAGAGCGAGGGAATTTCGGATCGGAACTTAGGTTGAGATGGTGGGAGGAGTTGAGGTCTGACAACGGTGTTATTTGCGCTTCATTTGTGAGATCAATTGACGGTTTCTGATAAAAGCTCATTGGATCACTTGTCGTTCGGTTATGTTTGGGAGTTCTATTAGAATTAACATGGTAGGCTGCGCTCCGAGGAGTAGGGTCGAGAATAGAACTCTGTAACGTAGGTCGACGATCGTACGCTTCGATGCGGCTGCCGATCGATAGTGATAGGTTCTTTGTGGAACCCACTGGTTTTCGAGGGACTTTGAACGGCAACATGGAACTATCAGGTACGAAGGAGGTTTCGATAGACAATAATACCTTTGGCAGAGGCTTGGAAGGCAGTATCTCGAGTTTGTCAGGGGTTGGTATGTCGAAGGCATTGAATTCTGGAAGATCTGAAAGCCTATTTCCTGGCTGATAAATACTGAGTTCCAGGGGGCGGAAGGGTTCAAGACGAGATCGCATGCCATTAACTCGTCTGAAATCCGACGGTTCACTAATCGTTGGCTTGAGGGAGAAACGTTTGCTGGACTTTTTTCTACTCGAGAGGCTTGCTCGATCTGTTGCTTTCAATGCGAGGGACCGGCCCTCAGCAATCCATTGGGATATGGTAGACGTACGGGTCCCATCAGGACTTGGTAGTTCGCCATAGAACACCAGCTTCATTGGCGGCACCAGATGAGGTTGGTCATGACATATTTTCATCTCTCTCTCGACTCCTATTGTGGAACGTCAAATTAACCCGAGCGTCCTGAACAACGGCTGACGACAAAATACGTGAAATAAATCCCACTCACCCGGATCTTGAGTTGGACGGTGATGTTGATGAGCCTGCTCAGCATCACGACGCCAGATACATGAGAAACAAGATGCGAACCATGGCCTCAGAACCGAGCCTGCTCGCTCCATTGACGATAATATCATAATTGGGTCACTCTCATGGCAGCTGAGTCTGCAAAGAGACGAAACGAGCTCTGATGGGAGTGTAGTACCGAGATAGAGGGCCGGCGGCTGCGAGAGCATCGCTAATATATAACTACTATATAGGACTGTAAGATCTCAGTTCATTTCCTGGCGTGTGGGTGCATGGGTGACCAACGAGGGAGGGGATGGCCCAGGCCCTGCTGCAAAGGATGAATGTCAGCGCTGCAGGTTCTTTCGCTGTCGTTACTGGATCCCCTCTTCGACCAACACGTCTAGTGCCAATTATGCCCTTTTAGTGCCATCTCGACATCAGAGAACCGTTCTGTAGTGGCCTGTGATGTTAAGCCAATAGGGTCTGTTGACATTCATGTGGGAGGTCATGCTTGAAGCTTAGAATCCTGCCATCTCCCCTCCTCTGGTGCTTCGACCAGATGTTGAAAGTCGACGCCGATTCGTTGACAGAGGATGTCGAAAGAAATCGCGGCGCCCATCGTTAGCGATGTTCTTCATGCAAGCTCTGTTGATAGGTTCCCGTGCGCCTGCATTGTCCTCAGTTCAGAGTTTGGAGTCCAATCTCTCAGCGCTTAGAGATTGGCCCTCCTCGTAGGACCGTTGGTGCAGACAGGTTTTAGCATCCCTGCTCAGGACAAACGAAACTGATTCCTGTTTTGTCAGAAACAACCTTGTGGCAGGCTTTTGCCAAGTCTGGTGGTCAGAAGAATCCGGAGATATTGTTAAATTGACTTGCGACAAGTAAATTGGATGTGGATGGATACAGAGAGGAATCCCAGAAGGCTTAACTATATATATCTCCCAAAATCTACACCTATTTTGTCTCTGGAAATGGTCACGTCACCAATTCTCCACAATCGTTAGAAAGAATCCACGCCGGCAGTCTCTCTCCTACGTGAGTATGAGCAATCGAGCCAGCGCTGTCTAGATGAATGTTGAGAGACTCCATACAACGGAGATTTAGTATGTAATGAATTAGAAGCGAAGAATTCCCTACGCTTTAACCAATCCAATTTCTCCACCTTGGAAGTGTGCGAAACTGCTTCTGCACAATCAACTACTAACTACATATCTATCCGTGCCTTGTTCGAACTTCCTGGTCCCTGTTCATCATTGCTGACAAAATACAGCCATCAGCTTCAACCACAGCAATGTCTTCCAGGCGCGGACTGGTTGTACAAGTGAGAGCATCCCCTTGTTCTCTTTAAGTGGACTATTGAAGACAGAGGTGAGTGATGAAGAGACTAAGATTCTAATCTGGAAGAATCTGATGCGTTGCCGCTTGTTTTTGATCTGGTCTGAAGACTCCATCATATGGACATGTGTTTCAGGAGAGCATGCTCGCTGTATAGGGAAATACCAACGGGTCAATCTTTCTCAACGGCTGGAAGTTTATGTATGTTTAATGTAGCATGACTGACATTTCGTCCTCCCAGCTATATCAGGAGAATGATGATAGATCAATCAGATTTCGGGTTATGGTAACTATGTTACGGGGCATATGATCGGATGTAGCCAAGGACCTTTCTATTTCCTCTTGCAACACCTCCAACCCTCGATTCGCACGCATGTCTTAAAAAAAATAAATTTATCCCAAGACCCAAGCAGAGGAATTGTCGGTGCTATATAACTTGAGCCCCTAAGTCATGCTTTAGTGAGCAGGTAACTACCTGCTAACTTGATTATTTCAAATCCACATCCCTACCAGCATGTCAATGTCCCTGAAGCCTGGCCTCACAAGGCTCCGATACCCCATGGCCCGTAATCGGCCAGAACACCTGAAATCCTTGGAGATGACGCCAGGGCATCTTTCCCGCCTTATAGCCGTTGAAGCTATCACGAACAACGAGCCATGGGGGCCATGGGCCACAGACCGGGAGGTGGAAGTCCTCCAATTTCCATTCTTCGTGGAAGCGCAATCAATCTGACGATATGAAACTCGATCCTTCTCGGGAGAGCCTTCACCAGACAATTGGCGTCCGAATCAGGTGGCACAAGGACCAGGAAGAACGGGTGTTCAGCGGACCATATATTTAGAGCATGGGGAAAAACCACCCGGCGCTCTGAAGGTTCCCTTGGATGTTGAAAAGGGGGGGTTTCTCGATCTGTTACTGTAACTTCCACTTCACGCAGCTTTTGCTGGGGTATCTTGAGCATATCTATTGCAAATTGGCAGATTATTTTTTTAATTTTTATTTTCATTATTTATATATATATATATATATCTAACCAATGCCGTGGGGTTGACGAAACTGTCTATCGTTGAGTTGTTCTTCCACCCACAGATTGTCATGGGGTAACTATATTTCGTACACGGTCCTCTGATGCACTCGATCTTTTCTTCTCGGGTAGTACGGGTGGAGTGTCCAAGCCCTTGTTGGTAAGAGAGTCCGTTAGAGCTACTAGAGGAAAACAAGCTGTCGGGATAGATGGAGACCCTGTTTTGACACTGGGCTCTTCATATTATTCCAGCGAGGATGCAGCGGGATGTCTCAATGTGATGAGATTGAAAATAGTTTCCGCAAACTCACAAGGATTGCTGTGTTTCTGGCCGTTGATGTGACAGCGATATTAAATTTCAACAGCTGTCAGAGAACTGAGGTTAATATATTATAATAAGATATTCTCTCATCCTCTCCCCATCTATTATTCGGAAATGATAACATTACTCCTAACAGAAACGCCCCTGTTATTATGTCGAAATAACATCTCAACTGCCGTGATTCAGAGGCGGCGGCATGCGATCCAGTGAAACGCAAGCTCGGGCTGTGATACGAGCACACATTTTATGGGGAAAATGTTGCTTGCATGGAAGGCAAGAGGCGGGCTGGGAAGCAGAACAGGATCTACGTCTAAGCATGCATGAAATGTGCGACTTCATTGCTGGAATCTATACAGGTTTGTGACTGGACTGAATACCGTGTTTGGAGTGGTAACTGGTTACCCATCGGCAGAAATAAGTAGTTATTACAGAGGACACTATTTCTTGCCTGCTCTCATGCAAGGTCCTTTGGCGGGTAAGCCTCAGGCGGGCTGAGAATCCACTTCATAGCATTGACGATTATGTTATTGTCGTAATAATTCTTGCTGGAAGTGTATGCAGCCCTCAGCGCGAAAATGAGCTTTGGAAGCTTGTCCGACCGGTTGCAGGTGATAACAGTCGCGATTTGCGGCTGGGGGAAGAAAGGAGGGGTAAGAAAGGATAAAAATTCATACAGTCAAGGGCCCATCCTTGTATCTCAGCCCCGCTCTATTATAGTCTTTGCTTCTCACGAATTCCAGATCATCTAATTTATCTGGTGGTCATGATAGAAGTGACTGTAGTAAGTTTGCTTTCAGAAGATAACCCCTGCGATTCTCTTGCTAGATTGGATCGAGTGGACTTGAATGATCCCAAAGCATACGGCGCCAGTCACGATGACGGTGTTGGGAGACTGCGGCGGTGGGCATCAACTCTAAATCTGCAAAATCTGCACCGATCTGCCAGAAGAATAGGCCACGAAACCCAGCACGAGAGTCAGAAAGGGTGTCAAGGGAAAGGTATTGGGGAGGGGGAAAAAGGGCGGAAAGGGGGGTGTCAGGGCTGCCTTTGTATTATCAACACCAAGGTCCTAATAAGGGAAGGTTAGGATTGGGTTTAGGATTAAGCTTAGTTAAGGATAAAGGTTTGTTGAATTACTTAAACCTGTTGAAACGACATTCGCAGCGAATCAGTCGAGCTCTCTCCGGGAAAGATATCTCCTTGCAGCTACGGATGGGTTCCAGGAGAGCATGATATGTTGGCAAATCCACCTTCTCACGGTGTCCATGCCACCAGCAAATAAGGTCGGTTGTTTTAGAAGCCATTCAAAGGGTGAAAGAGTCTGTATCGTAGGAAAGAAGCAAAACTATGTCAAGATCAATCCGCCATAAAGGCAGTCAACTTCCCGCGGGTGTATGTATGTTAGTGTTTCCACAATTAAAATTGGATGGCTGATTGTCCGGTCATTATGAAAATGAAGGTTGATGTTATGATCTGGAGGTTGAGAAAGATTGAATGATCTCAGACAATGGTTGACAGTTGATAAATATAAGTGTGTGAAACTCATGTAAAGCCGAATTAACCTACAATAGCTATATATTTAGCCAGCCTTCCTTCTTATCTAGTTCTCAACTAGTAAGCAACCCCGCCCTCAAACAACAGAAGAAAAATGACGGTTAATGTCCTGCATTCGTATCTCATATTCATACCAACAGTTCACTTATTTTGCCCTCTTTCTGTTTTTCCCTTCACTTTTTTTTGTTTCTCTTTCCGTCTTTCTTCTTCTCTATTCCAACAACGGGCGGCGTGGCAGCATATCGCAAATTCCCCTAGAAGTCTTTCTGTTCTCCTCTTTCAAATTATTTCTCTCTTGATATCGCGCGTTGGATTAACTATTGAAATGTTGGCTGTGCCTATCGCGTATGGACCTCGCCATCCTGCTCGACGTGGAGGTGTTCATTTGTTTGAAGGACCTTGATTTGGTCATCTGGGTACTCGACACTATGCCCCGTCGGGAGATGTTAACTAGCTGCACCTTGAGGAGGAACTGGGGTGGCGGGTGCGGGTGCGGGGATTAAGCATGTAAGTTGTTAATGTAGGCACATTACACCATACAACAACATTTTGGATAAGTGATAAGAGAGCAAGTATAAAATGAACGTACATGAATCCTTTGATTAAAGAAAATTTAAACCTTATGGTTCCACCGTCCTTTTCTGCTTGTTCCATGGCCCTGGTGGTTTGCGGAAGGGTATGTGAGCTTCGCCCTTTGGAGTACGGGGAGACATAGAATGTGGGGGGGGGGGGGATATATGTCGAAGGAGGATAATGGGGGGTTAAGAGGGGTACGAGGGGTACGAGGGGTAGTTAAGTGTGCAATACTATGTCACGTATGTATGTTGGGTATGAGTGCATGCATGTACCTTTCCAACTCCCCTGGTGGAGCATCCTTCTTCAGAGTAACCTTTTACACGCAAAGGGGAAGGTGTTAGCAGGAGCCATCACGGAGAGAGGGGGGTTTGGGTATTACTGACGTTGAATAGCATGGTGGGGAATGAAGATGTTTGCTGGTGGCGGGAATGGCGATAGAAACTGGCAGTGGAGGGGAGTGGTAGCTGCAGCAAAGAGTTTTGATATTTCGCTTGGTAAGGTGAGAGCTAAAGAAAAGAGAGATCTTGAACAAGGGCGAAAAGAGAGGGGATATATGCGTTTTAAATAGATGTCTCCACTACGTGGTGGGGTGCTCATGGGAAACAAGCCGCAATCGTGTGTCATAGAGCAGTGGAGTGTGGGGGATTGGTTCGGGCAGCAGAGCCAGATAATAGCTGACGGGGGAAAAAGTTATCAATACCCCGTAGTTTTCTGTAGCTCGATTATTATTCATGGATACCTTCAAATGTCATAAACCGGTATTTTTAATGGCCAGCGGACTTTCTTAGCCCGGGCCATTCATTTACACATGACAAGTAATATGTCACGTCATCTCACAGCTACGGAAGTATGCAGCAACCATTAATTAGGTTTCGTGGATGATTAAGGTTGTCTGGCCATGTTACAAGCCAACACATGCCTCTGCGGTTGGCTAACTAACCTATAATTTCTCAACCACCGTATTACTATACAGATTAAAAGAAGATATATATTACAAAGAATGGACCATATTAACATCTGAGATACTAACTGGACTGAGAGTGAAAATGTGCAAATTAAAATGTAAGAAATAAAAAGAAAAACCAACAAAGTTATAAAGAAATTACTAGAAAAACTAAATCTTGAAAAATCTCTCAGTAAATATACACTTAACCTTATTATTAAACTATTAAGAGATTAGTATAAAACTTACTAAATATTCCTGATTGTACGGAAATTTGAACTGCATACTCTTTATCATTTTGATAATACTTGGTTAATCAATAAATATTTTTAAAATATAAAAGATCTACTTCACTACTCAAATAATTTCTTTTACTACTTTAAACGTTTCAGGCGGTGGAGCCGAAATGGCCGCATGTCGACTACGGCCGCTTTAGGCTCCGATACCGCCACGCGCCACGCACGCTGCCCCTCTGCAGCCGAACTCCCACGCCACGCACCCAGCGTCGATGCGCCAAAGAGGGCGCGCTGCTTGCCATACCACCACTCGCCCTCCACCCATTTGGAGACCGCCAGCCAGATATGGCCCTCTCGGAGCTCACTATATAAAGCCATGGGCCCCTTCACTCCGGCAGCTAATATCTGTTCAGCGGGTCTGCTTGCGAACAACAAACACCCTCCGGAGCATTAGTTATATGGAAAGGATGACCGAACTTGAACGGATCCCTACTCCAATACAATGGAACTCTACAATGAATACGCACCTAACTCTCTGAGGCTGCTCGACCGACCCGCATCGAGCAGGAATGGATCAGGTGAGTGTCTGGCGCATCCCACCCTGGCCCGCGGGGCAATATCTTTCTCCCAGTTTCCCATATGCAGATTCTGCGCCTGCGTCAAATGGGAACCCAAGGAGACGTCCTAGCAGATGGACGTACAGATGCTGTACATGTTCTCCAGCGGGGTGCTGCTGACTCAGCATCGCGGCAAGGGTGGGAGATGACGCCAGGGGCCCAACTACCAGAGCTCCCTGGACACGTATTGGAAGGTCTTCCGTCTGGTCTACGAGAGGGAGCTGCTGGAGAAGATCGACGGGGAGACGTCAGCGAGGGTGGTCGATAATGTATGCAATCACCCGTTCTCATGTAACAACCCTCCCCCTCTCAGCGCCTGGACAAATCCGGTCCGGTGGCTGAGTCATTTCACGGTCACTGACCCGGGGCCTGCTGGCAGTCAAGGTGGCCCAAAACTGGCGAAGCTGTATTATCTCAAGAAGGGGTGCCGGAAGAAGTCAGTCGTGTATCTGAATGATCTTGTCAAGGTCGTTGAGTAAGCCATTTGGCTCCTATCTCATTCATGGACCAATCATTGGGGCTAATATCAAGCCTCCAGCCATCTGGGAGCCCTCAAAACATCCTTCCTGTAGATTCTGACCCTTTAAGAATCACATTTGGGGGTAGAGCCCGGCCTGACATGTTGACTGACTCAATCACAGTCACCCATTCTCAATTCCCAGGTTGTAAAAGCTTTGCTTGATCATAGCACTCACTACTAGTAATAACCTTGATAGTTGCACAGAGTCCCAATGCAAAACCAGTCTCATCAAAGTTGCAGATATCTCCAGATCCAATCCCATGCTCAGTTATTATATCCTCTTAAGGCATTAAATCAATCCTCCACAATCCTTCAGTCTTCGCATTTAGCTCATTTATGATTATAGCGTCTGGAATAGCCGCCTGGGGGGCAATTCTTCATTTATCCAGGTCTAGGATCCATTCAACAAGACTATCCTCTTCAGTCTGAGTCAATCTCTGTGAATTTGCATGTAAATTCACCGTGCAGTTCAGCCATTGAGCCTATGAACAAGAGTTAGGCGATAAACCTCACATAGACACGCAGCTTCGGGAAATTGAGGATATTTCTTGCATTTTAATAGCATTTATCACGAGTTCAAGTTAACCCTCTCTTCTCTCTCAAGAGAATATGAAGACTTTTTATTGCGAATCGGTGGCATGATTGCGTTGAAATGGATGAGTTAGAGATAATTTTGAGATATATGAATTTGCCTGTTTGCTCGGTGGGGAATTACGTTAAAATAGTCAAAAATAATCACTAATAAACATAGTAGCATGTTTGTTAAGCTGTTGTTAGATCTTGAACATCCCGAGGACCACATCTGCAGGTATTGGCGACTGTTGGTACCATATCAGCATACAGTAAACGCGGGAAACCACCTGTTCCCGCCCATGCAGATGCCTCAGTTATTGAACTCGGAAAATCACTGGTGAGATTGATGATCGCTTGTGCCCTTGCGTAGTCAGGCCAGTTATTAACTATCGGTTCGTCGGATCATGGAAATAATCATTGGGGATGGATGATAGCCCGTGCCCTTTGCGTAGTCGGAGCCGTTATTGGTTATGGACATCGTCGGTCCAGGAAAACAATGAGCGAGATTCTTACGACTTAGTCTCAGAGGTTAGTGCCGGCTAAAGCTATTGCTTATTCACTGATAGTTAAGACTCATCTTGATGCGTAGTTAACTAGCTGTCAGGGCTTTGACTTTTCTGGTCATCCACAACCACAAGGGCCAATCGCAAATCAATATCCAGCCTGAAAGGCATCCATCCTAGGAGCATATCCAGTAAGAAGCACAGGCAGTTGGTCCATAACCTAGGTACATGAGCAGTCCGAACCCCTGGCTAACCTAAGATACTGAATGACGCAGTCCCCGTCATCCCATGCAGGAAAATATGGGGTCGCTCCTCTCTGCCTGAGTGGACGCCAAGCTTATTACTCTATTTTTGAGCGCCATGGGACCGCCCTTTAAATTCCACGCGGCTGACCCTTCCGCCACGCCCAGCAAACAGTAAAAGTTAGTAGATGGGTTTGGTTGACAAGGGATTTCATGTGGAAGCAATATTTGCCTAAATTCGTTGAAATGGAGTGTTTAGGTCTAAGGGTTCGCGCAGGGGATTGTCATTTCTCTTTTCTTTAAGCGTGCCCTAAAAACCATAAGAGGATTAGATAGTATGATTGATAAGGAACTCGCGCGGTAGGATCATGAATGAAAGCATGTCCGAACAGAGTCGTCCTCTCGGATCCGTACCGGAGATACCTGGGCACCATAACTTGGGAAAATATGAAGAATAACGAAGTTAGGTCGGCAGCCATATACCTATTGCGGGGTGAAGGTTTTGGACTATCACTCAATAAACACAAAACAACGCTGGGCAGCCGGAAAGAGAAAAGGTATAGCAAGTTTTGGTAACTGGCAGAAGAAAGCTGAATTTGGATTTCGAAGTACTCAACAGAGAGTGGAATATATGTTCAGAGAGGGTACATAAATGCAGAGAGGAGTATTGAAACCAGTCCAAGCCTTTCCTGGCCCGACCGAGTTCCTGTTGCAACCCCACGCCTGCGCCTTTCCCGCCTTTCCCTACTCCTCCCAGCACCTTTTGGTGTTCACGCATCGCAAGTTGATCGTAATTCCTTCCTTTCTTCCATACGTTCGTTCGTTATCTGCTATTCGACCCCATCCAGCCAGTTCAATGATCCCTCTCACAACGCATGAAAAACATAACACAAGAAACCGTGAAAAACATGCGTTTATGTGGTAGGGTTCGGGTTCATCTGGAAGGTGTAAAAGTTGCGCGTTAGTTGGGGGTCCCTAAATATTGGCTCTGGGCGGATGTCCTCATCTCTTCTCCAGACTGGGGGAGATTAAAGATGTGAAACAAAACGCACCTTCCGCTTTCCACCGGTCAACGTGACATTAACAAATCGTCTGGTGTATTGCAGGCGCTTCTTGGCGCGACCCTTGGGGGTCTTCTTCTTCTCTTGAGGCTCGACCTATACAGTTCATGAAATCTCCCATGTCAGCCAAAACTTGGTCTTGTCCGGGTTACCCTTCCGCATATTTTCGATGCATCTCTCATCCCCGTATACCTCGACCTATCCCAGAGGACGCCAAACAATAGATTTCTGGCCGTGAGATGGGAGAAGACGGGCTCGAGAGGGTTGCAAAGGTGGAATAAAAAGCGAACTGACCTTGGGGGTCTGAGACTTGACTTTTCCCGCACGGGCAAGGGATCCGTGAACTTTACCCATGATGTGTGATAGGCGATGGGAATGAGCTTTCGAAGGATGTCGTCAACGAGGAGTTTGATGACTGTGCGGAGGCTGAAAGTGAAGAGGTTGATTGACTTGTTAGCTTTTGCTCCTGTGGCCCGCCGTATTAAGCGAAAAGTGGTAAAGCAGGGGCCGAAAACAATTGGAATTTTTCAGACTCTTGTGCTGTTGCGGATTTCAATGGGGAATTAACTGGAGAACACGTACTTACAGTTGCCTTGAATATAGTCCTTCTGTCGTCGTCGTTGTCGTTACCAATCGACTCTGCGATATCTGTGACTCGTTATGGTAGACATTCAAATTTAGCGAGCGCCAAGTCACGTGATTTCATCAGATTAGGGTATTCTAAGGTTTGCCCTATTGCCTATTTAGGAGTATAATCATTGGAGCCCTGGAGCCCTATAGACGAACGTCGCAATGGCATGTTTAAGGCAGTGATAATCTGACGAAGAGTGTGTGCATACGTGCGGTACCGTCCTGGTCTTCTAAATAAACTTGACAAGAGTGCACAGTCTATGGACATGGGGCTTCCATCCTGAATTAATTCACCATTAGTAATGACGGTGCACTACAGTCCAATCTACAAGGCTATGATCATGGCCAAAAGAGCTCCATTCTAAATATCCCCTTCAAATGCATACCCATCCGAGGAAACTCATCAAAAAATTCTTCTTTGAAATCACCCGGTCGAGGTTGACGGATTTCAGGTGAGAGAAATAGAGTGAACAATCTGCGAAACCGAGCTCGTTTGTTGGCTAGATCACAGACATTAAAAACCGCAAAAGAAATTCATTTGCAAAGAAAATCATTGCCCAAACCTCCCATAGTACAAGACGGTGTGTGCGTGCGTGTGTGTCCTGCAGTTCCGATTTAAAGACAAATATCCCAGTAGTTTAATCATGAGAGGCTCCAACATCGATTTTCACTTGCACCCTTCCTCCATCCTCCAACCACCACCCAAAACACCACTACCGATCCCAATTTAACGGGACTTGGCAGCAACCTTGGGTGGTGCACCCTTGGCACCCTGCTTGCTCTGGATTCTGCTGGCCTGACCTCTGGCAGCCCCGGCAGCGTTCTTAGCCTTCTCAGCTCTCTTCCTGCTCTCCGCAGCGGACTTCTTCTCCTTTCCCTCCTTAATGGCTTGCTGGCGAGCAGCGAGTCGGGCTTCGGGGCGCATGCTCCTTCGTTCCTTGATGACGTCTAGGGAGGCACCGACAATCGCACGCTGGGACTTAACAGCTCGTCGAGTGCGCTTCTTGGCAACTTCCTATAGTCGAGGGTAAGAACATTACCAAGGTTAGCTGCATTCCTATTCCCCATCATCTAACTGCACTTTCTTGTCCTCTCATATAATCCTTTTTGTCGTCATGTTATAGGCCATGCCTCCGGTCACCCTCTCTTCGCTTTGGTACATGTATTCCACTAAACTTCAACTTCTCGAAATATAACGCAAAAGGACAGAATGTCACTGACTTCAGAGATACCCTTCTTATGCTGTCTTCTGTAAAGAACCGTCCATGAAATACGGCGGGGGTTCTTGCGTTGGAGGAAGAGAGATTCGGTTTTTCCATTCTGGAAGCGGAAGATTTTGCCGTCGCCGCGGACGTAGAGTTTACCCTGCATATCACCAGCAAGAATCAGCTCATGCCTTCCAAACCTCTCTCATGCTGTATAGCGGGAAATTTATTTCATTTCCATGACATCCAGGTTGGAACGATGCTTCATTATCCCGCCTGTGTGGATGTGACAATTTCATTATATTACAAAGGGCGCATCCAATCTCAGAGAAATGCAGTTTCGCCATACCTTGCCAGGGTAAATCTTCTCGCCGCTGAATGTATCGTCGTAGGTACGCATCTTGGATCGAGGAGATGCGCAGCCGGTGTGGACGAGGTTGGATTTGTTGACTTCGTGGTTAATTAACTCGTTGCGACAGCCCGGACGCTTTCGCCCTTTCGATGAGGTTTGGTGGTGCGAGAGGTTTCGCTAAAGTGCGGCACGTGACTTTGGTTGCCCTTCCCCAGGTTTTTCTTTTAGTACTGCAGACCCATAACTACAGCCCATAGCCTCGCTTGCAACCCAACGAAATATTCTTGAACAGGAATAATAATTATTATGATATTAGGAGTAATGACTATCTGTAAGATCTGCAAATACTTTTGAAATTCGATGCCAGGCTTCCAACTATTTAAATTGATATCTTACCAATATCGACAGCAGCAAGCAGGGCCACCGGTCAACTTCTCTTTCAGAGGTGAAAGAGGGTGAGTGACCAAAGGATGTCGCATGTAGATGCTTTGTACATCTTAGGCCTGCATGAAACATATTGGGCCTTTGGATGTTGGGTAACTTGGGAGGGGAACAAACATAATCTTCAGACTGGAGGTAAATGGCGCGAGAATAAAATCACGAATATGATGGAATCAAAGAATCAGAGATCAATGCTCAGCACCACCATGCTTTTTCACGTACGCTCCTGCCTTTTCCCATGCACGGTGAGTGGCAAAGTGTGTATCCAGAGGGCTTACATGCAGCGAAATAGCCATTGGTATGTGAAAAAGCCGAACCTTGAAAAACATGTGCGCCTGCATCCAATTGAGGGCATTTGAAAGCTCAACAACTGGTGGAACAAGCAACAACATAAGCACCAAACGCCTGCAGATGAATAAAAAGAAGAAAAATGGGTTAACAAAAAATGGGGCGGGGAAAGGCAAAGGTATGCAGAAAGGTCCTTGCTGTTAAGAACTTTCCCAACCACAATCCATCATGAAATATTCGTGATGTTAAAAAGGCATGCATAATTTTAACTGGCCAAGAGCCTGGCAGCCTCCTCTGGCGTCGCATACAGGTGTGTGTCCGCCTTTGCCTGCGCAATGGCTGCGGCGGAATCACTGAGCCAGTGTTTTGCAACATCAGCGGCAAGGGGATCGTCAGCGTTCGGGGCTCCAAGTAAAGCCTGAATCGACAGGAGGATGGTTCGGATTTGCAAGGCAGGGGACCAGTTGTCTATTGAACAACAATTAGCTATGAATATGTTATCAGGGGCTGTAGGGAGAGGTCAGAAGTTTTAACATACTCTTCAGTACGTCCAGACAAACCCTTCCGATTCCGTCGACGTTGGGGTGATATATCTTTGTCTTGAACCGGACTCTGGGAGGAGCCATAGGATAATCTTCCGGCAGAAAAAGTTCTAGTACAAAGATGCCGCCTAAGATACGGTTAGCTGAAATGGGCTGAGAGCGTGGCTGAGAGCGTGTCGTCTCTTTCGTCTGTTTGGACAGTTTCCTGCAATACCTTCATATGGAGAATCGGCTGGTCCTTCGAGCGTAACATCAAAGTGGCGGAGATTGTTTTCCTTGGGTTTTGCAGTAATGCCTGGAACACTTTCCAGCATAATAATTTATCTTAGCCATTTGACGAATCTATATCCTAATTTATGGATACTCACGGCTCAGTCTGTAGGCGCTGTGTCTCCTTGATTATTCTCTTTGGCAAGGCCATGGTGGGGGGTGCTTGACGTCCAGGAACCAGGAGTGGCAAAAATTATAGCTATACCAAACAAGCAGATCTTAAATGAACACGCCAGAAATAAATGATCAGATCAAGTCAGCTATACTAATAGACTTCGGATTGTCAGTTGGATATCAGACAAAGAAGGCCTTTGATGTAAATGCTCCTGCGGCAGATCGGCAGCACACTTCGCCTCTGCACCCCGCCGTACTCGAACCATCTAAAATGGGAGACGGTGGCAGGATGTTCCGTGCCGATGGCAGCTTGGCTTGTTATGGTAACTAAAACTCAATCCACCATCATTGAACCTAAGGTCAAACACGCAATTTTTACTGCGTGCTGCTTTGATGTCGAGCTCATTGCTAATCCATTCATTTCTACCGAACTAGAAATTCCATTTGCTCTGCGCCTTAGTTACCTCCCTAGGTAGGCTTTTGATAGCGGAAGATTTACGGGAAGGGGGGTAACTATCCTTTCTGGGGAACTTCAAAAAAGGAGTTTCAGTTTGATTATTGACCAGGAGGGAGTCGACGCTTTCGACTCTGATAATAATATTTCCTGCGCATGGAATAAAGAGCACCAAAGCTCTTGAATTGTGCCTTTCCTGCCTTTAGTTACCCATACTAGTAAATATCTAGTTGCTGGCAGTGACCTGGCCGAAAAAGGGATATTGCCATTTGAGCCTTTCGCACGCCACTGACAAGGACAGGAGATTTGACTCCAGCAATAATATCGGACTAAATACTCCGAAGTTACAATTTCCAGCACTGAATCATTTCTGTCCTCCATCAGTGGTAAAAGGGTTAGCAGATCGTATACCTCTTGACCGCAGGAAAAATCTCTCCAAGGTTCCAGATATCAATCTCCTCATGATACTAAGAGGAAATTGCTTCGAAATACTTGGCTGCGCCCTTACGCCACGGTATCGATTATGACTTAGGGTAAAATCCCCGTCGAGTTCAACAATGAGCCATGGTGGTCATCCATCTCTGTCTGTCTGCCCTTGGGAAGTGTTTACCGTCCTCAGTCACTGTCTCTCCCTATCTCCCTCCATAATTACTGCTCTTCTATTGTTTGGACGCCCCTGCGGATTGCAACCTGGCCACTATCCATCACCCTTATCTGTTTACAGCAAATCCCTCAGCGACTGCCAAATCTGAGGATGAGAAGTCTGACGAAGACAGAGAGAGGCAAACTGTTTTGAATTTGTAGCCAGCGAGCCATTGGGATGGTCACAAAGTATCGTTTCATGCATTGAAGACGGGGTCTCCCCTAAATGATGTTGCACAGCGTATGAATGCAGGGTGTTATATATATATATTGAAATGTCTTGCGGCGATAAAGGGGCTTTTGAAGGTAGACGTAACATATTCATCATTTCAATACGTCAAATACATTACAACGGGCTGGGTGCAGAATGGAAGTGAAGCCAAGCCCTTATTCCATGCCGGGTGACGTCCCATCTAGCAATACCGAAAAGATAAAGAGGGATGCATGTATATCACAATGCTGAGGTGAATGAAGTTCCGGATCGATTCAAGTCATGCCGTAGCTATTTTGATACGAATTAAACTTTGAGCCAAATGGAAAACGGATTGATCGCTCATCAGTAGAGGATGCGCCGTTTTACACATAGAGCTGAGTAAGTTTAGAAGAATAACTATACTTATGATAAGCGCGGAAGAACATTTGCGAAACTAAAATTCAGTGTAGAAGAATCAACGTCATGTTGTTCAGTTCGTGCTGGAACTTCGAAAGGCGGTCACGAAGGGCAGTACTGTCTCTTGGCCGAGCATATCACATGACGTTATCGTTAGGTTCAGCCCTCAAAGCGGAGTCCCCTGAATGAAGAGGCCCTTTGCAGAGGTCGGCGATAGACTGTAGTTCAGTTAGACTATTAGTTTCATGGACTTAGTGAGTGCCATATCCTTCCGCGCATCTTTGCTGCAGCTGGAAATTTTGTAGCTGACATTTTGTGCTCTCTTCTAGTGAAAACACATTGATACTCCCTATTCCGCCTCAATCTACGGCATTGTCGATATGCGAGTAACGCCGTTTGATATGCACGGCACCTTCTACCCTTCCCTCATGTCATCTGTGCAAGTTTCTATATGAGTCCTAATTGGTCTCACCGCATGACAACAAAAGTGTTAACTACTGCCAGTCCCGGAGGCAGTACTTCCACATAGTCATCCGGGCGCTGGGAGAGCTTTTCGACAATATGTCGAGCCCTATGGCATTGAGGCCATTAGCCTCTGCCTACGAAAGCCCTACTTTTGGCGAAGATAGCTCATTTCATGTTGAGCAGCCTATTGGGTCAATGTCAATATCTCCGTGTGGCAGAGATGTTGTGCTCGCTTCGTACGTTGTTGGTTTATGTCCTAAAAAATGTTATTCTCCTTTGATTACTGACTGGTAGTGGGAGGATACCAGAAAGGAAGGTCTTCATATAATTGACCTGGATAATCCTTACTCCCCTCCTCGATATCTCCCTCACCATACTCCTTGGGAAGTGGCAGATGTTCAATGGTCCCCCTTCGCCGCAAGAGACAGTTGGGTTGTGAGCACTTCCAATCAGAAGGCATTGGTTTGGAACCTGGCAATGAAATCGGCACAGAATTCTATTGAATACGTCCTACATGCGCATTCTCGAGCCATCACAGATATAAACTTCTCCGCCCACCATCCGGATGTTCTCGCCACTTGCGCGGTGGATAGTTTTGTTCACTGTTGGGATCTACGGTCTCCAGCCAGGCCTGCAGTATCGTTCTCCGACTGGTTTGCCGGTGCGACACAGGTTAAATGGAATAGACAAGACCCGCATGTGATTGCAAGTTCTCATGATAGATTCCTCCGGATTTGGGATGATCGAAAGGGTGCTCATCCAATACGTACAATTGTGGCGCATAACACGAAAATCTACGGTCTCGATTGGAACAGGACCCGTCCTGAAGCGTTGGTGACTTGCTCCTTGGATAAAACCATTAAATTTTGGGATTATTTAGCTGAGGAGGACATCCCCGAAAAAGTAATACACACGCCTTTCCCTGTTTGGCGAGCCAGACATACGCCGTTTGGATGGGGAGTTCTTGCCATGCCGCAACGTGGAAATAGTGACTTACATCTTTATACCCGGGAGAGAACTTATGATGGGGGTTCTTCACGAGTTCATAGTTTTCCGGGTCATAGAGGCCAAGTCAAGGAGTTTCTCTGGAGATCTAGAGGGACTGTTATTGACGGCCTAGATCACCGTGAATTCCAACTTGTCTCCTGGGGCACAGATAAGGAGCTGCGATTGCATCGAGTGGACCCGGAAATTTTAGCAGGAGTGGGCTATGAAATGGGAAAGTCCTTTAATCCCTTGCTGAACCTCACGCGGAAAGGCGCTGTCTATAAAACATTCCGCAACGACCCGAGACTGGAAGACAATGCAGTGCAACAGGAGACTACCCCGGACGCCCAACTATCAGGACACAGTAGATCGGCGTCCGCCATTGGCCTGAGTCCTAGCAATGTTTCCATGCCTTACTATAGCAATTGGACCCGAGGGGGAACAATGGCATCTCCAGTTGGAATGCAAGCGAAATCCGCTCTTTGTGCTGACATGAATCCTATTTCTTGGATGCGAGGTGTTAAGATCTCGGGATGGGAAGTGGAAACACTAGGCGACGAAATTACGCATGTTGGTGAGAAATTTACGAAGGTTTCTTTCGAGTCTGTGAACATCGGGCAACGGAAAACGACAGTTTCTATGCATGGACCTTGGGGCCCTGACAATAGTAGCCTTTTTGTAAAGGTTGACATCAAATTCCCGCCTGGCTATCCGCGAGCCTCGATCCCTGTGTATAGCGTACAGAAGACTAGTTCAGTGACCAGTCAGTTGGCCTCGACAATAACGTCAGGATTACGAGCCATTTCCAAAACATACCTCACTCAAAAGAGAGGGTCACTTGAAGGGGCCATTCGATACCTCTTAGGTGAACATTCCGTCGAGGAGAGCATAGCGTTGGTACAACGACAGGCCCGGGAAGCTTTGAAATCACCAGATATTTTAGGTGCGGATGAATCAAGTGATGAAGATGAAGAAAACGGGCAATTCCGCGTCTCGCAACTCGGGTTGAGTTCTTCCGAGCTTCTCCGTCCGGCAAATGCAAATGTAATGGTGCCAGTTTCTAGAACGTGCGGTGCTCTTTGGGCCAACGATGGACGGCTTTTGTGTTTCTTCCCCCCTAAAAAGGAGAAAGCTGCCTCTTTTATGGGCTCCGTGGGACTCAGTGACCTGAGGCTAGTGCGAAACGATAGAGTTTTCGAGGGCTTCGGCAGACTGCAGACTAGCTCCCCGGGTCCGAAGCGATCTAGTGGGGTTGGGACAGGTAGGGGAACTATTACAGACGATGGCACCTCTGATTACTCGGACGATTCTTCTATTGTGTCTTCTAGCTCGTCGGGCTCATCGGATCTCCTAGGAAACCACCATACCCAATTCCATGGGCCAAACACCTGGAAAAGTGGAAGTTTGGGATTCTATCACTCAAGGTCAACGGAAAATTCCCAAAGGTCTACAACCGGGGTTGACACAGTGAAGTCATCATCAGACAAGCCCCACAACATAATATACATATATGATTTCAGCGAACTTCTTCCTGCCAAGAGAGAGTTAGCGAAATTGTATCAGGTGTTTGGTAGTCGCCCGGACGTTTGTTTGCATAATATGGTCGCTGCAGCTAGCCTAGGTAGTTTTGACCTTGCCAATGTTTGGAATTTGATCGGATTAATATTGCAACACGATATCCCGCCTGATACCGTCGTCATGGGGGATGACATTGTCGTGATTGCACACAAAACCTTGCGAGATGTGAAACGAAAAGACAGTACCGTAGATTTAAGTTTCGGTAAGCCTAAACGGAGGAAATCTTCCATCAGTCCTCTTCCAGACAAAATCGAATGGGGAGAGCATCCTCTTGGTGGCCGTTGGCTTGTCCCAGCCCTGTAAGTTTCCTTTGAAATTGGTTGATATTAGGCTGATGACCGCTGACCGTGACTAGATTCAACTATTTTGAGCGTTTGGGAGATATACAGATGTTAGGGATGCTCTCATGCATTTTTTACGAACCAGAGTTTAAGTCGGATCCAATCCAAGTGGGATTTCGCGGGGACGGACGGTCTTCCGTTGTATTGGAAAACTCAGCGTTGACCACGGATCACAACTCACCATCAGGAGACTCCCAAGGGAAACCTCAGATATCGTCACGACTCACATCACTACCTAAGGATTCCCACGTCACTTCAACTTCTCATAGCTCTGCTTGCTCATCAACGTCGCAGTGGCAAGTGGACACACCGCCAGTCTACTCAACCGGAACGACTCCTCCTCAAGGAGTTCACCTAAACAGGCATCCCTCGGCTCGAAAATCACAGGCCCAAGGTATCTCTTTATCTGGATCGCCTGACCGTCATTCTACTTCCCGCTCTATTTCTGGTTTAGGCACCACGCTGGCCTCGTCACTATCGCGGTCTTTTACATTTGGTCCTTCAGGATCATCTTCACCTCCAAGTAACAGCAGCAAAAAGCGACCTAGTCCTGTAGGAAGTTTGAACATGACTGCCCCCAGTGGCTGGGTGACCAGTGGAATATTTGCAAAACCTGCATCATCAATCCCAGACTACTTAACCGCTTCAACCACTACTACATCACAAACTCATTCCGACTCCGAAAGTTCCAGACCTACCTCGCCAAAGTCCTCCAAACCCATGAAAGGTGTTAAAGTGGTGATGAAAAACCAAGATATGTTTGATGGGGATAATCATACCTACGTCCCATTGTTAGATCAGAGCCAGGAACCTCTTTACAAAGCCTACCGAGCTGCGTATGCTAATTTACTTTTCGTTTGGGATATGCCAGTAGAGCGCAGGGAAGTGCTCAAGATGGATAGTATTTCAAGCAACCGTCCGGACATGTCTCTTCTATCTCGCCCAAAAGGTTATGAAAAGCAAACGTCAGTCTTTCCTCGTCGCGATTCAAAGATATCACCATCAACTCGCTCTCAAGTAACACAACCTCATGAGGAAAACCAGGGTTTGGATTTACAACGGCATTGCGGGAGATGCGGATACTGTCTTCATATTTCTGCTTTCGCCATGCATTCGCTGGGGAAAGCTAGTCGAGCCAGTAAAACCCGTGACGATTCGTTTTCAATCCAGTGCCCCCGCTGCAAACCTGCACAGCCGATACCCACAAAGATGTCCTGCGTTATTTGCGACGAAGTAGTTATTGGAATGTTCACTCCATGCTTCAATTGCGGACACATAACCTGTCACGAATGCCACCAGAAATGGATCACCCCACAATCTCAGACAGCTGAAGGAGAAACAAACACGCCATCCTGCCCAAGTGGCTGTGGCTGCATTTGCTCGGACCACGTCGTCATCCAGCTCCCTATGCCTTTGTCTCCGAACACAGTAGCATCAGAGAGGAAACTTGTCATCACAAAGGAATCTAACCGAAGTCGATCTCAGCCCCCGCGCAGAGATCGTCGGCGCAGCAGCGGATTTTCAACCGGCTATTTCGACTTCAAACGAGATGGCGAACCTGATGTCCGGACCAGCTTCCGCTTTGCCTCTCTTGCGCGTGGGTTAAGCGGTCTTAACCTCGATCTTCATCAGAGGAAACAGGCGGCGAGAAAATACAACAGTCGTGCGGCTGAATAGAAATGGTGCGAAGAATACCTTGGAGAGGATTGATACTCCCTGATTTAATCCTTTTTCCCCCTTGCATTTTACTTCTTTTTCTTCTGTTGTCGAAATACCCCTAACAAGTCACTTCCTGGTACTCGCAACGAGCTTGCTTTTGCCCCCCCTCTGTTTGGCAACTATACTCCTTCCCGCATAGCGTTGGTGTTCTAGTGGCGTTATGAATCCTTTTGGATATCCCAACCAATGTCGATTTACATAACGTCTCTATGTAGTCAATGATGTACGTATGCCAGCAATGCAATTATTAGTGCATTGCCTTTTTTTTATCTCACATCCGGCAGATCTTCCCTGTGCGGCTGTGGTCCCATGGTTAAGGGTATCATTTAGTTGATAATTCAAAGCATATAACTGTGATAAGTCGTTTCCTGACTATTCACTTCTTTCGTGCAGATTCTGCTGCCCTTCCAAGGAGAAACATTCTAGGCAAGATCGCCTGCCAGAATAGATCTTCTGGAACAACTCACCTTATTATATGAAGATAAATACATACATTATTCCATAATTTCAGCATGCAGAAGCTCCATGATCCATTTATAAATTATTATATTTTTAAGTATAATCTTTTAAATCCTGATATAAACCTTTATAGTACGACTGAATTATCGATGTAGAGAAACAGTGAGTACCATTTTATTAAGATACTAAAACTGAGAAAAAGCAGGAGATGCGTAAACAAACAGAGAGAGTAAATCTATATAGAGCTATTTCATGTCCTTGCTGAGCCTTCTCACTTTTTTGTAATTATATTTATAACTACGTAGTCAGGAGAATAGACTTGAGAGTGACATTATACACCTTACCTGCATGCTTAAAATTGCTTAGTTTCATAGCTCTAATGACTAAAAGAAGCATTCCTTCCTGATTGAAAGCTTGATCTTTTGACTTGATGGGCATATTGAATGATTTGATGGATTCAGGGGTTGGCGTGAAATGGTGCTCTGGTAGGTGAACTTTGTTAAGCCAGCGTTGACCACCCACCGCACGCGACCTTGCTGCCCGTATAGCTTTGCTGTAGCTAGCCTCCCGAACCGAACGAATATACGGACGCGATATTCATCATCAGGTTATAGCCCAGCCCAGTGAATTAGTCGAAAATTTTTGGACTTGAAGATCCGCTGAGCAGCTTCAATCTTGTTTTAACCCGAATTGTAGAGAACAAAACGGTTTGAGAGGAAAGCGGCGGAAATAGCTAGGATGCATCGTGGAAATCAAAACAACCACGTAATCTAGAAACATGTCAGCTATAGAGAGTTTCCAATGAGAGAATCAAAGGCAAAGGGGGCAAAGGCGCTTGTTTTCCGCATTCGCTCCCTGAGGCGCTATCTAAGCCGCCGTAATGAGGGCATATCCTGCTGCGGTTAACTGAGGGATTATAAGGGCTGCTCCATACGTACTACCCTAACAGTTAATGGCATTACTGCAGAAAACACAGTGAGCCCAAGAGGGGTACGCATGGCCATGGCATAGCTTCCGTAACCCTGGAGCGTGGATTCTGTTACTCATAAATGACATAGTAAAATCAAAGGAAGCATATAATAAGGAAAAGGATGGGATGGCTAAACACTGAATTGACAGAGAGGAACATAATCTATCAATACGAAAACATGAATGGCTTCTGCAGGATGAGAGTGTCGAAAAGAGTAGGAGGGTAGAGTTGGTTGGATCCCGATTCAACTTAAAACACTCTACCAGTCTTGATTTCCGATTTGTGGATTTGTTGTGTCATCTTTATTGTTGGGTCGGAACCCGTAGGGGTTTTCGATCCCGTATTCTTAAATGCAGTGCAGTCGATATAACAGGGAAGCGCTGTATATTTGATAATGGGAAACCACCGGATGTCTTCCGGACCTGTCGATCTGCTGGCATAACAGAATAGGAAACGTTGTTGGCCCATGTTTCTGGGCCATGTTCTGGGACCGATAACCAGGTGTCAAAAACCAAGGAAAGTTAAAGTAGTAGTGCGGTGAGACATAACATGTAGGCCTAGCGGGCCGAATCGACAATCTAAGTTCCCCGCTCGAGGCTTCGTTCATTTGTGCCAACATCCCACTTAAAATTTATCTTTAATTGTTCTGAGATTAAAGGTCTTGGGTACGACGAAAAGGGCATTTGCCTCAGCACATATGCCACCCTTGGAATCTCGAATATTACCCTTGATGAAGGCCTTGCGCTCCGTACTCTTCTCCCGGTCGTACTCTGCTGTCACCGTACAGAAATCCATTACCCTGATGGGTGTGCGATAGTGAATGTTAAGGTTGGCAGTTACGCCTGTTCGAGCGGGAAAGCTGAGTAGAGCAACTCGGCCCAGACACACATCTAGCACTGTAGCAATTGCTCCCCCGTGAACTACTAACGGCCACCCACCCATCCCAAAACCAAAATACACAACTGTAACAGCTTTGCGTTCTTTATCGTTCCAGAAAACGCGCTGCGCATGTACATCGAGAATAGATTAGCAACGCGATCTCAAAGCTTCCCAACTGACGTATATATAAGACCATCGAATATCACGCAGGCAGAGGTGGGGGTGAAAAGTAATCCTACTAACCTGTAGGGCCAAATTGTGAGTCCCGCTCAGAGGACCGCTTGTAAGTTGACGCGGCTTCTCCTCCTCTGAAAGATTATCATGTGCCTCCCATTCCACATAATCAGGATCTGCTCGTAGCTTTTTAACCACCTCCAACTTATCCATCTTTTGCCGTAGATGGCTTAATCGCTGTCTATCCTCCTCGGAGCCTGGTGTAACTGGATCTTCGAAGAATGAGGCCATAGCATCTCCTATCTTATAACCCAACAATCCAAAGAGGGCTGCGTAAACCAATGACCTTAGTCTTCGTCGAAATACATACTCATTTTCAGTCAACGGCGCTCGTGCTGAGCGCATAAAATTGCGTTTTGATGTGGAGGGAATGAACCCATTGAAACACAGCAGACGCGCGGAGATACCACTCCGGAGCAATGTGCCACAAGAGAAGGCGCTGGATATCAATCTTGGAGTGCGGAACATTTCTGGCGCATGTCAACAGTTGCAATGGGTTGTTGAGAACTCTGTGAATTCAACGGATGTTTGGATCCAAAAATTATTGTTCAAATTAGAGTCACGTGATTATGGTGTTACTGGAGGCAGCAGTGAGAATTCCTAAACAATGGCATGGGTCTTTTTTTCGTTGAAAAATATTGTATCTATACTAGATAGGCGCCGCGGCACCTTGTTTGCAATTACTTTTGGTTCAGAAAAGAGGTTCTTTTTTTTTTTTTTTTAAAGCGTGGCCGTTGCCTGAAAAATAGATTGTTTTTTCAACAGTTCTCAGGACATATTCGAAGTAAGGGAACAAAACGAAAGCAACAACAAATAAAACAGGCATACGAGTAGATAAGTCAAATAGCATATGAGTACTCATTTCAAAAGCACGCTAGGTTACTAAGTCTATCTTGTTTTTGCCCCAGACCGGTTCGAAACATGATTTCTTTAACACAAAGCCAGAAAGCAAACCGTAGAGCTCGTCTCAAACGAAATGGGAACATAGCGTTATCGTGAGTTTGGAGGGAACGAAATCGACAAACACGAGGTAGCTATACTGTTATCTAGGAAAGGTTTGCGTTTCCCCAAAGTGGAGGGCTAGGTTTATTCTTCTTTGGGCCCCTCTTTAACTTCTTCTGCGGTTGGCAAATCGATCGCTCGGTATAACAATATCAAGGCAGAATGTGATTCACCTGGCAATATCATGTTAAAGGCGGCTCCCGAACGTGGAACAAAAATGAACGAGAGAACAAGTCAACAGACACTTACCGCCTCCTGATAGCGTTTCAATCTTCTCCGCCTCGACCTCCGAAACTTTGTCATCATTGAACCACCACCACTTCCCATCGTCCTCCCGCCTCTTGCCCCGTGGAACATGAGGATCATCGACGATCCGTGCTTGCTTCCTCACAAAAGTGGTGTAGTGACCACTGTCGGCACTAGGGCCCTGGTGTGTAATTACTCCCCGCAGTTCGTAAAGTCCAGATTTATTGGCCCCATCATCAGCCGCCAGCTTAGGGTCAATAAGTTCGAACAGTTCTTTCTTCGCTGCCAGAACCGCAGCGGCACGCTCAGATTCATACTCGGCATCTGTTTTGAAGGTACCTTCCATCGGCACATCGGTGCTTGCTTCTGCTTCGGCCCTTGACTCGGTCATTTGCTTCTTTTGGATGGGCTCACTCATTAAAGCATCAGCCTTCCGGTCCTCTTCTTGCTTATGCGCAATCTTCTGGCGTTTGCGAGCTCGTTCCATATCATGTTCATCTTTCCGAATCTCTCGGATCTTGTCCCTCACGGGGATGAGCTGGCTTTTCAGCTCATCAGTACAGAATTCCACTACGTCCAACTCTGCAGGAAATGTCACTTTGCGCATGATTTTCACCTTCTTTTGTATATCCCGTTTCCAGAAGAAGCGCATGAAATGAACTGTCAGGTATTTAGGTAATCGAGAGATCCGTGAGCGTTTCGTATACATGGCGTCCCTGTCGAGAGTAGGTGAATGCTTCTCAATCTTATCTTGTAGGCCTGCCAAAATTCCATCTCGCAGATGATTTATAGTCTGGTCGATATGGCAGTCAAGTTTAAGAAAGGTATCAGATGATTCAGTGGGTGTTTCTCCAGCTTCCTTTGCCGCCTCTTCATCACATTCGTCAACCGATTCCAACTTTCCAGAGAGGTATTTGTCCACGAAGGATACTTTTGCTGATAATTCATCATTGTTCTCGCCCTGGATCTTGAGACTCCGGCGAAGTGTGGATATAATCTCGGACCAGGCCTCTTCTGCGTCTTGTTGTTCATATCCACGACCGTCCTTCGCTTTCCGTACGAGATGTGGAATACCGAATGCTAGAGCATTCCAAAACATGTCCGGCGAAAGCCCGTACCGCGTTTCAGACATCTGCTTATAGAGGTCTCTCAACGAAGCGACTAGGTCGAAGGAGGAACCTCTACCGGAATTATACGGCCCGAGCGAGGACTTGTATTTCAAGAGCTCTTCCTGGAGTTCTGGGAGGGTCCGTAATGTCTGGAGTGTGGAGTTTAGCCAGCATGTATTGCCCATGTTTTTTAGACCGGCAGGGGTTGCGCCCTCAGATTTCGCGGCTTCAGCTTCCGTCATATCTTCGATAAACTTGGTGGCTACCTTAGGTTTCTCCAGAGCGGCGCTGGCACGACCAGAACTTGGGGTACCCAGCAACATGAAAGTTTCCCCTGGTTTAGCATCGAGAGCGGAGAGTTCGGTGTTATCTTTAAGCTGGACTCCCTTCACAAGAACCTTCTGGCGCTCTGGTTCGACTCCGGTAAGTGAATATAACTGGAATTTAAAGGTTTCCCCATTGGTAGTCGGATCGAGATCTACTTCGTGGCGCTTGCCCTGGTGCTTTACGATCACTACAACCCAAATGTTAAAAGGCAAGCGGGAGCATGATGGCGTGGGAGTGGGGTTGTAAAACTCACCTCGAATCGTAGCCATGGTGGAAAATCGATCTTCTTCCCCCAAGCCACAACCGAGCAAGATATATATCTAAATTTTCAAAAGCCGTTGAAGACTGAGTTGAGAAACGGCGGGAGTACATCAACAGGGACAAAGGTCGACTGAAGAAGTGTTGTGGATGTTGATAAACGCTGCCGCTGCTTTGGGTGGGATGTTGTTAGGGTGATGCTCGGCAGTCCTGTCACGTGATCAACGCCCCCATATTAAGTAGCTAATTAGTTAACTTGATCGTAAACGATGCACAGGAAGGAAGGCTTCTTTTAGCCACTAGAGCTTATGAAACCAAGCAATTTTCAAGTAAGTATGCGAGCAGCTGTCAAGGCGTATGGATCAGTGTTGCTCTCTTCAAGCCTATCCTACCGACTACACAGTCAAATCACATACATGAATTCTCAACAAGTCAATTTAAAAGATGGCCTCAATTGAAGTAGAATCTCACTTTATTTTTAACTTATATAAATATTATATTAAAAATAAAAATAAAAAAAAATGTTAATTTAATAGTAAAAAAATATTCAAAAATTATATTTTAATAATTAAATTAAACTTTAATAACATTTAATATTAATAATATATAAAATAAAATTAAAATAAAAAATATTTTTAATAAAGTATAAAAAGAAAATTTGTCTTCTATAATATAATTAAAATTAAAAATTTTTATAAGCTTAAATAAATATAAATTTTATAATTTAGCTAAAAATTTAAATTATATTTTAATAAACTATTTATTAAATAATATTATTAAAAGAAAACTAAAAGAAAAATACTTTTAGCAGGTAACTAAATGTATTTTTTAAAAAACTAAGTAAAAGTTGCGACGGGCAAGTGCATGGCCAGAAACGGCCATGGCGCCGACCGTCTGCGGCCTGGCGTGGCCCCTTGTGGTCTAGCGCCGACCCTGCTCCTCTCGCCGACTCGCCGACGTCATCCGCCGCAACTCTATAAAGCTGCTTCGACTGCCTCCCTCGCACACGCCCCCTCCTGCGTCCTTAATTTCCCCCTTCATCCAATTTTCCTTTCTTCTTTGTCTTCTCTGCCCCTGCCCCCTGCCATCTTTCCCCCTTCCCATCTCCCAATTTTATCCCTGACGCGCACTGCCTCTTCTCTACCCCACCGCGCCCATCACATCACGCGCTGATGCAACCCATTTCTCGCTCGTCGACAAGTTCAGGAACATCCTAACCTCGACTGAGATCCAATTCGACAGCGACAAGCTCAAGACGTCATTTGACGACGTAGAGATTTCCCTTGCAAGGCCAAGGACGTGATTGCTTCCCAGGTCAAAACCTTCTTGGAGTCGGAAGTCAAGGCTATAGGCCGTTGCAAACGGACTATCCTCTTTTCGTTACTCATCTATATATCATTCTATTTATATTTATAATCTCTATCTCTAAAAATACTATTATACTTTAAAGCTTTGCTCTTAGACGTAGCCCTATTCAAATACTTTCTGATTACTGCACTTCACTAACCGCCGGACCCATCCACCATCATGCCGCCAAGTTTCTCTTTGATTCCTTACGCGGTCTGTCCTTGATCAGGTCATTTTCATTGTAGCAAACCGGACACCGTTCATTGCCACATGCTCGACATTTCACCCCGATCCCGACCTCCTTACCACATGCACAACAGTAGAGTCTTGGACGATGGTGAACTTCCCTTGTAACCCATCCCTGTTCGTTTTTCCGTGCTTTCCGATTCAACCGTATTTGGTTCAATAGGTCGTGCCCCTTCAGTTGCTTGTCGCCTCGATCCTGAGATCTTTAATATAATTGGGCGGGATGCCCTGCCTATCTCGAGCACATTGCACCTCGCGTTGCCGGCTTCCCAGCCCCAGAGGGAGGAGGAGGAACGAGAAGAGTATGATCCAGTTTAGAGTTATTGGTCGAAAGTATCTTCTGACCGTTTGTCCCTTTATATATCCCTACAAGGCCGCCCGCTCCTCGCAATGGCTCCCTCTAGTTCGTGCGATCCGTTTTCACACTTTCAATGCATGAAGGATGCAACGCCGCCAAAAAGGTCCACCCTCCATTCTTGCAAACCAATCTCCTATAATTTTAATTTGAGGAGATACGACTAGCACCTGAGTTGTTTCAACTCTGGTCGACTAATTTCACAGGCTCCTTGCATGTTTAGTTGGGGCATGACCAAGTCGCCAGGAACTTCGCTGGCACGATTTAATCGTTCATTCATAGCCATTCGGGACATTTTCGTCACCGTAGGGCGTCGTAATAGCACCTTGCCATCCCTGCAGAACAGCGCAACGTTTTCGTGTGATGTTACATCTGGAAATTTTGGCGGCTTGTGCCGCTCTGGGGTTTTGGGCATGATAAGTGGCTGTCAATATGTTTGGCGCGTTTTGGGTGAAAACCGCTTTGGCCTGAGTCAAATCGCCCCGGAAGCTGGCGCGGCGAAATTCTAGGTGGAGGTTGTGCTCTGTGTATCTTTGCTAGTCCAGCCCGGCCTGTTGGTTGATTTATGAGATCAAAGTGTTAATTAACATGCTTGCTGGCTGAAGCCAGTAGGCAAGATAGCGCAACATTCCCATTTTTTGTTTTCCTACCAATTGAATGGACATAGATCTATTCTCAATCCATACAGGTGCTGTACCTATGGCGTTGTTCGGGCCGTCCTGCTCACCGATATATGGTTTGGGCTGGGTTAGCGAATGGGATGGCGTGGAGGTATCGTCGTATGGAAGCTCCGCGGATAATGTATGACCCATGTTCCAACTACTCACTGCCACGTATAATAACTCGTTCACTCAAAAAAAAAAAAAAAAAAAAAAAAAAAAAAAAACCTCATCGATTGGGAGGAGAAACTCAACAGGAGAAATGCATATCGGCCTGTTAAGTTACAGCAAATGATTGGTGCTCTGCAGGGTTAGGCACCGCGGCTGGGCACCCAACGAGGAAACGCTGGATTGTCCTACTTTGTCACACCTATCGGCATGATCTCGAGTCAATTGTTTCCATACGTTGATAAATCTAATCATCGGAACTCGATCCACACTCCTTGAGTCTCTCAAGTACATCATCTTCGACAACTATGGACGAATATATGTATCATAAGGAAATAATTGTACATCGTTTACCACACATGGTCGAAGCTAGCTAAACTATATAGGGTTCATCACGTGCGGTGGAGTGGCTGCCCCCTTTATGTGAGTGAAACCGCCCGCACCTTGTCCCTTAATTCTCTGCCAAAACCACTAGCGAACCGTAATGGCATCGTTTGGCCCCACTTCCGCACGGAGAATGCGAGTCGTGTTCGAGAACGATTCCACCATTCGAAAGTACGGAACCTGCCTCCGCCTCGAGAGAGAGTTGGAGGCGATGGCCTTTGTCCAGAAACACACGACCATTCCGATTCCCAGAATCCTGGAGGCCAGAGTGTTTAGTGAGTGTGATAAGTATTGGATTTTGATGAGCCGGATGCCCGGAATCAGTTTCGACAAAGCGTGGCCGGGTATGAGCGAGGACGCGCGGAGGGTGACTCTCAGCTAGCTGAAGTCCTATTTCAAGCAGCTACACAGCCTATTACCCCCAAATTCTGGCTGGATTGGGTCATGCACGGGAACAGCTGCCTATGACCACCGGTTGAAGAACGGGTCTCCGTGCGGACCCTTTGATTCTGTGTCCCAGTTTCTTGATTTTCTCGTCGAGCCGATGAGCCGTAGCCCAAAGCCGTCACTAGCGAAGACTTACCGGGCGATGTTTTCTGATGTTTACGGCGTCAATTTCGCCCACGCCGACCTGTCATATGAACATATATTAGTGGATGAAAGCACAGGCAACGTGACAGCTATCCTAGATTGGGAGATGGCTGGGTTTTGGCCAGAATGGTGGGAGTATAGGAAGGCGTTATTTGGTGGTCGATGTCAGAAGTGGTGGGCGGACATTGTCAAGGAAATCATGCCCCCCTACGAGAAAGAGTTTGAAGTAGACGTTGTTTTGGAGATGTTTTAAGAATCCCTAGCAGCACAGTATCTCCTGTTTGCGTTCGTTTTGCTAACTTCAAATACTAATACTACTACTAAAAATAATAGTAGTAATAATAATCGTCAATCAGGTGCTGAATTGTCCCTATTTCTCCCTGAGCCAAGCTCTAACTGTCTCGACTGTGTATATATCATATACAAATCCTTCAGTCTTCAGTTTCTCAAACCCTTCAAGCGCCCAATCCGGGCAATTCCAGCTGGACGATTCAACTGAGTCTATTTTGCACTCCTTCAGCCTTTGGTGGATCATCTCAAATTTATCCTCAGGTCCTTCCCCAATCAGAAGCTCCTCCTTCAGAGAGCCCGAATGCCCTAGATCAACTTCTTCTGGTCCGTCATAATGAAAGGCTCCTGGTATTCCCCGCAGCTGATAAGCAATTCCCTGCCTTACTTTGCCCTTGATTTCCTTTTGGACGAAGAAGGACCAGTGGTACGGTTTGGGTATGCTGGTGTTCAGGTAAGTGCCGCGATCGTAAGTGACAAGGTAGAGAGCGTTCCCCATGTTGACAGCGGATCGGTAAGGAAAACTGCATCATCGCATTAGATATGCGCTGCTCTCGATTCGCAGGTTTTCTTACCAGTAATATGGGCTTATTGAATTTGGTTGTTTTGGTAAGGGGCGAAACAACAAACAACACCTGCGGTAGAGGGGGCAGACCATGAGAGATTTACGTGTCTGCTATATACCAGGCAGCCAAATAGCCTTGTTATTGCCGGTGTTAGATAGATCCCAACCGTCGGGACATTGTCATTGTGGCTGCTCCTGTTGACGCAAGTGGGGATTTCTATGCCCTTTGCAACGTATGGGTTGAGAAAACGGGTCATGCAGCTGCTTGGTGGCAGCCTAAGTAACCAAGAGCGGGTGGCCCGTAATTGCCGTTACCAGGACAGACTTCAGCATCCAAGAACCCCCCTCCCAGTCTCGGGTCCTTCCAATTAGCAAACCTACAGACTTCCCCACTTCCTGGTTCGCTGGTGAACTGCTGCCACACCCGGATTTTTGAGGTCCTACACTCTACAGCACAACAATCGAATCAACTTGAAGGAGTGAACAAGTCATGTATTCTCCTGCGAAAAATCCCAAGGCTGAACACGTACTCAACGACATTGACGACTTTTGGGGAACAACAAGACACAAACTAAATGAGCGTTCCAAAAACCCATTATGGCTGTTATCTCAATTTTGAAGCAATCCCTCCTGCAAAGGAAGCAAGGTATCGGTGCTGATCTAAACTCACAGGGGTTCAGACTTGAAGGGCCAATTCAGCTAAAATTTCTCTCCATCAAGAATACCTCCAGGGACCATACTACCATTTGGCGAGAGGCAATTGGAGACAAAGAAACAAACATCCTGTCCCACCTCATCGAAATTCTCCTCTAGCGATGACGGACTCTGCCGCCGGCTTCTTCGACACCATTTTCAAACCCAGCCTAGAAGATGCGATTCCCAAAATACATAATCCACTCCCCCAGGCAAATCAGGCAGAGCCATGGGTTGAACTGTATGCAGAAACCGACGAATCATTGAAAAGAAGATTCTCAACACACAACGAAGTATCAGAATCCGGGCCCGTTACTTCGCCAGAAAAGTCTATGGTATTAAAACGGAAACTGTTTGTGCTAAGTTCTCTGTCATATCATATTTCTAGTCTGCCTACCATTCCTCGTAGGAATTTCTATGCCCAACTTGAGCAGTGGTGGGCGTCGAGACCTCTTCGGGAATCTCTTTCTGAGGTCACTGGAAGCAATTTGCCGGGATTTACGGCAGGACAAAGCAGACAGCCAAGGTTCTCCCGCAATTCTCTCCCTGCTGACAAGCCTAAGGGGACGCACATTACGGCAATTGGCGACGCATAGTCTCCCGCTTGAATTGCAACATGAAATTGCAGGGAATGTACCTTCCATATAGTATTAAATAACAAACAGTAAAATTTATTTTTAAACTGGAATAAAATAATATTAAAATAAATAGTTAATAACATTTGAGAGCGTTCTCTCTAAGAAATGACCATCAGATCTCATCTTCAATTTCTCCAATTCGATCAAGCTCAGAAGATGCCACTATCAGACGTAGAATCTCATTGGCTTAGTCATCAATTCTCATTCTTCTTTTATGCCATTCTTTGCAAATTTTTTGCGGCTATTCATAAATACAAGTAGCTTCTTTTCTCACCCCCACATTCTTGCATATGTTTCTACTGCTAATTTACATACAAAACTCAATTTGGTAGCGTGTTTTAGAGCAACTAGCTCCGAAATTCGAAAAAAATAAGGAATAAAAGAGGGAGTGGGAGTTTTGATGTAGATTTTGATGAATATAATCAGCCGCATGAAGGTCCAATGTCTGACAAACTCCAAAGACGTCAGTGGATTGAGCAAAATAGCCTTGTTCAGAAACTTTATCAATGAAAAGACATATGCTACATGATTACTTCAATGACTGTACTGCAGAGGGATTCTATCTTTTGATTCATGAAGACAATTGTTACTTTGGAATTAGTTTTCATGAGTATAAAAACCTCAAACTGTCAGTTAATTTCCATTATTAAAGGCATAGGAAGTTGTCATCATGGACTGTATAAAACAATAAGCTTATAAAAACAAGATAAACATTATCCACCTCAACATGCAAAAGTTATTCAAAAGGTAAAATCTGTCATATTTATACGTAGTCAAAACGAGTCGAGATAGAGAGTAAGAGCCGATTCCGACCGCCAACAAGGGCCGGTTTCTGGAAGCAGAAGCCCCTAAACCTAGATTATGTAAAACTATAAAAAGGGAGAATTTCGATTTGCATCGGCGCGGGCCACCCTTCCCCTTGCGGCCTGGCGCCGTCCCGATCGGGCCTGGTGTCACCCCGTTTGGGCCTTGGCGTGGCCCGTTTCGGTCTGGCGCCGCCTGTTCGGGCACGCTGCCGTCGCCGCGACTATATAAGACGCTGCCCCCTTCCCTCTCTCGTGCACGCAATTCTTCATCTTTTTCCTTTCAGTTCAGTCTTTCTTTCCTCCCTGCTCTCCTGCTCTCCCGCTCTTCATTGGCGATCGCCGGATCCTGGTGTCTGTATTAACCCCCCCCCTGATGGACATTGGCTGGCTCACCGCCACTGCTGTTGCGGGATGCAGTTACTGCTGAACCTATCATGACTCATCACCTGCTTCTACAGTTAACTCTGATCAGCCAATCTCTATGATTTACTGTTTTTCCTGTTTACTCTCTCTTTTGACTGCTCTGATTGTCACTCTTCATGCTCTCTTAAAATTTGACTCATTCATTTTGACTGTGAGACTTCTGATCATTCTCTCTTTCATTCTCTCTTTTCTTCTTCTTCTTCTTTTCTTTTTCCTTTCCCATCTGATATTGGGGTGGAAAGATTGCTGTGCTTTGAGTCAATGCTAAAAAGATCTATCTCAATCTCCTCTGAAGTTGTACATGTTGATCTAGCAATATAATGCATCAGTTGTCTTGTGATTCAATTCTACAGCAGATTTTTATGACATTCTATTATTTTTGAGAAGAATAATAATATAATCATCAGATCTGAGTCTAATGTCACTGCTAATTGATTCTTTGAGTGTTTTATGCAAATGAGCTGAAGTCAAGATTAATGACAGCTATTGATTCTTTCTTTTTTATATTTTTTTAAATATATTATATATTTGTATTTATAAGGGGCTGAACCCCTAGATTCGCTCTGGCTGGCTGACTCAGCCTAGCCATCATTTGCATGTGCGCACGTGATCATGCTATGTGAGCTTGCTTAAGCTTGTGTTCTCATCTCATTCTTTTCTTCCCTTTCCCAAGCAATTCATCCTTGTTATATAGGAGGACTAGTCTCTAGTTCTTAGAGCTTAATCCTCTACATTACAAATTGCTTCACTCCTTTCATTGATAGGCCACTGAGAGTCTTAATTCTGTATCACAAAGCTCAGCAAATATGCTGACATATGACAGACTATTGAAAGTCTTAAATTCCGCATCACAAAGTTCAGTGATAGCACTGGTATATGAATAGACTGAGTTAGCAATCATGCTAACAAATGAATGAGCAACATTGAAAATGTCTAGCTGAATGAGATAAAGTGACAGACTTGTACAACAAATACACAAATGAATTAACATGAAGTAATGAACAGGGACACCTTCAGCAGCTTTGAATAACAATGAATGATCTTTCTTCAACAGCAGAAACAGGTTCAGTGTGAGAACAGAGATTTAATAGCAGCTCAGCAAGCTGAAATAGCTAATCTACAACAAGCTTTAAACATCTCAACATTAATTCTCTCTCAATTGAATCTGCAATCACTTATTGCAGTCAGAAGATCAAAGATCAAGCTACTGAACTGCAAGAAGTATGATGATGCTAATCTGAAGCACTACTCTCAGTGAGAGCTAAAGCTTCAATCAAAACTTAAGGTCAATGAGAAAGCTTTAGGTAATAATGAGAAATGTGCTTGGTATGTGTACTTGAGACTGGAAGAAATGGCAGCAGGTCAAGTTTACCTCTGAGTTGAGAATAATAAGAACAAGATCAACTTCACAGTAGAGAGCTTACTGAAGCAGACACACATGCTCTTTAGTGATTCTGCACAACAGGAAAAAGCTATGCAAAAGCTCAACAATCTATGACAGAGTAGAAGAGCTCTCTTCAACTTTCTGTCTGAATTTAATCAGCTACTGCTGGAAGCTGATGGTTATGAATGAGATGATCACATTAAAAAGAGGTATTTGAAATCTACTCTAAGCATGGAGCTGAGGGAAGGCATGGTGGGTGTAAGAGAACCATCTCTTTATAAGAATTACTGCAGGGAGCTTAGATTAATTGATCATCAACTCTCTGAGCTTAAGACTTTAAGACAGTGGTCTAAACATCATGAGAGCAGATCTTCTTCAGATCATACAACATCTAATTCATACTCTCTACTTTATCATGCTGTTCTTGACTGATGAAACCAGTCTCAAGCTTTCACTGATGATCTGATGAATCTCTCTCCTGATGCTGTGACCTCAAGTGCCTGCCATGCCAAATTGATAAATCAGACAGAGATTAATCAATGAAAAGAGCAAGGCCTATGCCTGAGATGCAGAGCTGAAGATCATATGATTAAGAGCTGCTCATTCAAACCTCTCAGATGCTCTGTCACCCTCACAATAGCTAAGATGATCTCTAAGCCAGTACTGGACAACAACAATGTGGATATGAGTGAGGATTTGAGAAAAGAGTAGCTCCAACCAAAAGACACTGAAAGAAGTAAAATAAAAAGCTTATGAGAAAGCAATGAAGAAGATTTAAATCTAAGATGATATTCAAACCCTTCACTGTCAATGCTCTAATAGATAATGCCTTTTTGACTAAAGCAATGATAGACAGTAAATGTAATGTCTATGATCTTATTTCTTAATTCTATGTTAACAAGCATAAGCTCCTGTGCATTGAAATTCTCTCTGTTAAAATGACTGGCTTTGAAGACTTCATGAGACTCTCCACAAGCATAGTGACTGGCATTTGAATTGATATAGATGGTCACATAACTGCATGAGCCTTTCTCTACATAGTGAATGAGTTACATGATCATGATATGTATCTAGATGACCTCTGGCTGGCCCAGCAAAAGGTGACTATGATCCCTTATCAAAGAATTGTGAGATTTGAAGAGAGTGGTATAAAGGTAGAGTCTAGTTCAAATGCAAAAGCTGATGTGATTCTCATCTCTGCTGTAAGCTTCTCTAGGCTTATGAGCACTTGAAAAAAGTGAAACATTGAGATCTTCACTGTCAGTTTGACTGACATTCAAAAGACTCTAGAAGTAAAATCAAAGATTGATTCTAGAGAAAAGCTGCCTGAACATTATCATAAGTTTTTGAACATATTTGATAAGGAAGCTGCTAACACTCTACTCCCACTTTGTGACCCAGGTAGAGATCATGAGATTGAACTGATTAAAAAGACTGATGATAGCACAGAACAACCCCATTGAGGCCCACTATATAATATGTCTTGAGAGAAACTACTGGCTTTGTGAAAGACTCTTACAGATTATCTAGATAAGAGTTTTATTAAAGTGAGCAACTCTTCCATGACCACTCTTATACTATTTGCAAAGAAGTATGAAGATAAGCTAAGATTCTGTGTGAACTATTGAGCTCTTAATAAAATCATCTAAAAGGACTGATATTCTCTATCATTAATCAGTGAGACACTACAGTGAATTGAATGAGCTAAATAATTCACTAAGCTGAATATTATTGCAGCTTTTCACAAGATTTGAATCATAGAAGGTGATGAGTGAATGACAGTCTTTAGAACCAGATACAGGCTATTTGAGTAGCTGATTACACTCTTTGATTTGGCCAATGCTCTGAATATATTTCAAAAATATATCAACTGAGTATTACATAGATATCTAGATGACTTCTGCTCAGTCTATTTAGATGACATCTTGATATTTTCCTCAAGAAGCTTACAGGAGCATTGTGAGCATGTACAAAAGATGTTTATATATCTACAGAAAGCAGGCCTATAGGCAGATATCAGAAAGAGTGAGTTTGAGATGAACAGCACAAAATATCTTGAATTCATCATTGAAGCAGGCAAGGGTATATGAATGAATTCAGAGAAGATTAAAGCTGTTTTGAAATGAGTAACATCTACTACTCTTAAGAGTGTATGAGAATTTTTAGATTTTGTCAATTTCTATAAACAATTTATCAGAGATTTCTCAAAGTTCATAACCTCACTGATAATTCTTACACACAAGGATGTTTCTTTTTTATGGACAAGCAAGGCTGAGGAAGCTTTTAAGTATCTAAAATCAATATTTATCTCCACTCTGATTCTGCTTCAATTCAAATCTGATCATGAGACTATATTGAAAACAGACTTCTCAGATTACATCTCAGGAGGAGTGCTGCTATAATATGACAAGCAGAACATTCTACATCTATGTGCTTTCTTCTCTTGCAAGCATTCACCTGCAGAATGCAACTATGAGATTCATGATAAGAAGTTATTAGCAATAATTGAGTGTTTAAAGAAATGGGACACTGAGCTACAAAGCATAAAGGAATTCAAGATTCTCACAGATCATAAGAATCTAGAATACTTCATGACTACACATAGACTAAATGAAAGATAGCTATGTTGAATAGATATTCTCTATTAATTCAACTTCAGAATTGATTACCAGCCAGAGAAGTTGAACACTGGACCAGACACTCTATTGTAAAGAGAGCAGAACATGCCACAGGGTGCTGATGATGAGAGAATCAAGCAGAGGCAAGCTCAACTACTTAAGTTTAATATACTGGCACCTGGAATGGAACCAATAGTGGCTGCTGCCAGCATGGAACCTAAGATGTCTCTTCAAGCTCAGTGAAATGAGACTCACAAAAATGATAAGATTCTGCAGTGTCTGGAGCAAATTCTTCATGAGAAAAGATTCAGATTTTCTTCTGAACTCAGCATTAAGACCTCTGTCTCTGAGTGCTCTTTAAATGAGAATGGGAAGCTTCTCTTTTGAGATCATAAGTGAGTGCCAGACTTCAAACCTCTTCAAACCAGGTTAGTACATGAGGCTTATGACTCACCTCTTACCAGCCATCCCAGGCAAGAGTAAATGGCAGAAGTTCTAAAATATGAGTTCTACTGGCTAGGCTATGCTGCCAATGTGAGAAGAATGATCAGGAACTGCCATCTCTGCAGATCAAACACTACATGAAGAGATTGATATCAGGGACTGCTTAAGCCTCTCCTCATTTCTGAATACATATGGTAGGAGCTTTCTATGGACTTTATCATGAACTTATCAAGCTCTAAAGAATATACAAACATCATGATTATAATGAACAGACTGATCAAGAGAGTTATATTAAAAGCAGTTAAGAAAACTGATGCAGAGATAGTAACTAGAGTGTTTCTTTGCAACATCATCTTTCAACATGACATCTATAAGATGATAGTATCAGATCAAGAGTCATCTTTTACAACTATATTTTGAACTCAGATGTGTGAGAAATTAGATATTAATAGATGACTCTCTATAGTCTATCACTCAGAGACTAATGGAGCTATGGAGTGAATGAATCAGACTCTGAAAATCTACTTACACAAGTACATTAGCTTTCAACAGCATGACTGACATGAATGACTCCCTCTAGCAAAGCTGACCATCAATAATAGAGATACTGTCTCAATGAGCATGAGTCTGTTCTTTTTAACACATCTTTTCCATGTCTCCTTCATTGATATAGCTGATGCACCTCCTGTTGAAACACTACATAATCTCATTGAGTTTGCAGATGATTATATGAGAAAGGCCTGTGAAGTGTTGAAGTGAACTCAAGTAAAAATGACAGATGCTTAGCAATCTCAATAGAAATACATGAATAGACAAAGAGACCTGGCTTCAAGCTTTCAACCTGGAGATAAGGTCTGGTTGAGCTTAGAGAACATGAGAACTAATTATCTGTGCAAGAAGCTGAACATAAAATACAATCAATATATCATGCTAGAAAAGATAGAATTTCATATCTACTGACTGAATATCTCACTTAGCATTCACAATGTCTTTAATGTAAAGCTTCTACATGCTGTAATGACAGATCTCCTGCCTAGTCAGAGGCAAACTGACTGGCAGTCACCTGCTATAGAGACCTCAGAAGGACCTGAGTTTGAGATTGAGAAAATTCAGTATGAATGAATCTATTAGAGAAAAAAGTAATACCTTGTTAAATGAGTAGATTGGGCTGAGTCTATGTGAAATGACATGAGTCTTCTACAAGAAGTGAAGGCCTTGAATGCTTGAGAGGCCTCTCAGCAGGCAAAATTAGATGTAAAGAGAGCTTTAAATAGTCATAAAGGCCTGCAATAAAGAGGGAGAAGGAGAGTATTATAAGAGATTGAACCTTTAGATTTGCTCTGACTGGCTGACTCAGCCTAGTCATCATTTGCACATGTGCACATGATCATGCTACATGAGCTTGCTTAAGCCTGAGTTTTCATCTCATTCTTTTCTTCCCTTTCTCAAGCAATTCGTCCTTGTTATATAGGAGGACTAGCCTCTAGTTTTTAGAGCTTAACCCTTTATACTAATCACTTATGCAAGAAGCTGAATGCAAAATACAATCAATATACTATGCTAGAAAAGATAGAATTTCATACTTACTGACTGAATGTCTCATCTGACATTCACAATGTCTTTAATATAAAGCTTCTACATGCTGCAGTGATGAATTCCCTGCCTAGTCAGAAGCAAACTGACTGACAGTCACCCACTATAGAGATCTCAGAAGGACCTGAGTTTGAGATTGAGAAAATTTGAGATGAATGAATCTACCAGAGAAAAAAGTAATACCTTATTAAATGAGTAGATTGAACTGAGTCTACATGAAATGACATGAGTCTTCTATAAGAAGTGAAGACTTTGAACACTTGAGAGACCTCTCAGCAGATAAAATTAGATGTAAAGAGAGCTTTAAATAGTTGTAAAGACCTGCAACAAAGAGGGAGAAGAAGGGTATTATAAGAGGCTGAACCTCTAGATTCACTCTGACTGACTAACTCAGCCTAATTATCATTTGCATGTGCATACATGATCATGCTACATAAGCTTGCTTAAGCTGATATTCTCATCTCATTCTTTTCTTCCCTTTTCCAAGTAATTTATCCTTGTTATATAGGAGGACTAGTCTCTAGTTCTTAGAGCTTAACCCTCTACAGTATTTCTTATTACTACAGAAGAGACATATTTAATGTTCTCTAATTCAACTGATTAAAGATGAAGTATGAGAGAATGAAATAGTAATGAATTATATAAACTGAAAAATTATAATTGATATAATTTATAATATTATTCTCTACTGCTTGTTGTATTCTCTTTTAAAGTTCATATATATGATTTGATTCTGTTTTTGTATCTGTTGTGCAATAAATTATTGTAGCTAATATGAATAATATCTACAGAAACTAACTAATTTAAAAGATTTATAATTATCATAATTGCTGTTTACTTCTTTGTTAGGCTCAGCGCCCGACCGAGCCCGACCGAGGCCCGGTGCCCGGTTAGACTCGACGTCGGATTAAGCTCGGCGCCCGATTAGGCCAAATATTCTCACGTGATCAAATGACCATGCAGGTGGTTATAACCCAGGCAGGCCCCAGCACCTCTTTCATCTCATCAAGCTTAGTATTTCATTATATAGCAGTTAGCAACACAGAGAGTTTCCTTCTTATGCAGCTCACATTTGCTCTCTAACATAATACTAAGCTTCATCCTACCCCTTCTACTCAGGATTGAGTAGAACCTGCTCAGCAAGAATCTGATGACACAATATACAACAGCAACTCATTCCATCCCCCCTAGTCACCAGAGAGACTCAGACCAGAATGGCCATCCCAGACTTCCAGCCCTCTGAAAAGATCAAGAGGGACTGATGATATGTTCTAACTAGGTCAACCAATCAATCACAGATCTCACTTGAAGAATTCAGACAGGTGATTCACTCAGACAAGAATCATGTTTACAAAGAGTTAGCAGCAATCTTTGACAGCATCTTTGATGATGAAAAAACATTGAGAGATACAATCACATGTCTGAGGATGGAATGAAACAATGTCACTGATCAGGCTGCTGTCAAGCAAAGTCAGATTGATGAGCTAATTGCTGAATGTGATGAACTTAGCCACACTCTGATCCATATGACAGTCAGCAATCAAGCAGCAAGTTGAGATGTCATCTCCTCTGAGACTACCTGGAGATCTGTCAAGATTGATGACTCAAAACATCTCACTGATGGCAAGGAGTCAAAATTTGAACATTGGCTCTTCTGGATGAAGAACAAGCTCTGGGAGAACACTGACCACTATTCTACTGAACACATGAGAATTGCATACATTGAAAACTTAACTGATAGGAACACAGCATGTCACATTGCACTCTGTATGGAAGAGAATCACTCTGAGTGATATCAGACTGCAGAAGAGATATTTGAGCATCTCAAGTCAATATATGAGAATGCTAACAAGCTGCAAAATGTCAAGAGTGATTATCACAAGCTGATTATGCACAATAGGGACAAGTATCATGAATTTGTCACAAAATTCTTACATCTGGCAGGTGAGGTCAAGATTGTCAAAGAGGACTACAAGACAGACTTCAATGACAAGCTATTCTTTGATCTTCAGAGGATGATGGCAGTAGTCAATACAATCATCAATACATATGCTGAGTTTCAGAAGATCTGTGCTCAGGCAGCTCACACTCTCCAGACAATCAATGTCACTCAGAAGTCAAAGAGCTTGCAGAGAAATGAGTTTAATATCTTCAAGCAAAACACTCTGTGAGTCTCTAACAGTCAAACTTCCCACAGCACCTTGGCCACAAAATCCCCTATCATAAAGAAAGCCTTGAGTGCTTGTCCAGATATTCAGTGCTACTACTGCAAGGAGAAAGATCACATTGTCAGAAATTGCCCTGTGAAGCAGAAGTCTCAACAGATGATCACTGAGCTCACAGAGAATGACACTTCTAAGCCTTCAGCAGATTTGAAAAAAGAGTGAGTCTGAGAAAAGACTTCACCTCAGATAGTTCAATAGTCTGTGAGAGGTTTGAGATGAAGGACTTGATTGAGAGAAAGAGCTTTAATGTCTCAATTAAGTTAGCTCACAATGAAATTGCTACTTCTACAAATTCTCTCACTGATACTGAAGCAAATAGTGTGAATTTTATTGATATCTGATACACTATAGAATTGGTGAGATTTTTCAATAGAAAGTTTCAGGAACTCCCATTCAAATGCTGCATGAAGGGATACAATGATGCCTCTGATGGGGTGATAGACTGCACATTGACTCTAAACCTCTGAGTGAATGGTCAGAGATTCTGGAATGTTCCCCTGCTGGTGATGGACCTAGGCCAGTACTCTGTCATCCTGGGATGAAAGTGGTTAGCAGCACAGGATATATGGCTTAATGTTAAAAATCAACACCTGATTTGGCTGAGTGAATGGTCTATTCCTGAACAGATGACAGAGTCAATGCTGAAGATAGTGTCTCAATCAATACTGAAGCATCCAGACCCTAAGTCTGAGCATCAGGCAGATGTGAAACAAAGAGAGATCAAACTGGACAAGGAGATCAGACAGGAGCATCAGGCTCAGCTCTGCAGATTGAAAGGGACCAGCTCAGTCATGACACCTAAGACAAGGCAGAGACTGACCTGAGAGGAGACAGCATCACAGATGATGAATATGAACTTCATTGAGACTGCTTCTTTTCACAGTTATATGAAGAACAAGAACTTGACAGTCTTCATAACCAGTCTGTATGAAATTAATAAACAGCTCAAGAAGAAATGAAGTTTAGTGAAAGCTGAGAAGGAGTCTGATGAGAAGCTGATCAGCAACTTATCAGAATGATTGAAAGATCAGAAGAACTGTTTCTCAAAGAAAGCATCAGATGAATTATCTCCTCTATAAAAGAATGTTGATTTTAAGATAGAGCTTCAGTCTGACACTGACCTCATTCAGAATATTGAACATGCATCTCTATATAAGATGAATCTGGAGGAACTAGAAGCAGTGAAGATCTATCTTGAAATCAATCTAGCAAAGAGCTTTGTCATTTCAAGTTCAGCCCCCTACACCTTCTCAATTCTGATTGCTTGTAGTGGAAAGAAGCTACAATTCTGTGTTGACTTTCACAAGCTGAATGCTATGATCAAATGAGATCAGTATTTCTTGCTTCTAATAGATGAGCTGATGGACTGACTCAACAGAGCAAAATACTTTACAAAGCTGAACATTCAGCAGAGGTTTCATTGCATCTGAATGAACTCTAAGTCAGAGAATCTGATCATCTTTAGAACCTGCTACAGGATCTATAAATACTGAGTGATCTTCTTTGACCTTACAAATACCCCTGCCTGCTTTCAATGATTTGTCAACAGTATCTTCTTTGACTATCTGAACAAGTTCATGATAGCATTCATGGATGATCTTCTAATCTACAGCAGGACTCTTGAAGAACACAAGCAGCAAGTGAACCTGGTACTGAACTGATTAAAGACAGCAGACTTGCAAGCTAGCATTCAGAAATGTGAGTTTGCTGTTCAGAGAACAAGATATCTGAGATTTATCATTATCACAGAGAAGATTGAGACAGACTCTGAGAAGACTGCTGTCATCACAAAGTGGCAGATTTCAATCACAGTAAAAGGTGTTCAATCATTTCTAGAATTTGACAACTTCTATTAGTGATTTATAAGAAACTATAGCTGAATTGCAAAATCACTATACCAGTTGACAAAGAAGACAGTTCCATTCATGTGGACATCAGAATGTCAATCAGCCTTTGAGAAACTGAAGAAGCAGCTGATGAAGGCTCCAATCTTACATTACTTTGACTCTGAATGTGAAACCTGCATTGAGACTGATGTCTCAGATGAAGTGATGACTGAGATACTGAGTCAAAGATTGAATGATAATCTTTGACACTCTGTGATCTTCTACTTCAAGTCAATGAATGATGCAGAGCTCAACTATGAGATTCATGACAAGGAAATACTTGCAGTCATCTGAGCATTGCAGAAGTGATGAGCTAAGCTTGAGAGACTACAACAGGAAGAATGATTCAAGATTCTCACTGATCATCATGCACTGAAATACTTCATGACAATCAAGAAGCTGAATGCATGTCAGACTCACTGGACAGAATTTCTTTCTCATTTCTATTTTGAGATTAAGTATTGATCAGGTAAGGTCAACCTGCTAGCAGATGTGCTGAGCAGATCTGAGCAGATTAAGAAGTAACAGAACAGCTATATGCAAATTCTTCTAGAATCAGAGATTCTTGACTCTCAGATCACTCTTTTTATGAATATTGCTAGCATCAACTCCTCAGAGAAAGAGAACATTGCTGAATGCATAGTGTCTTTAAACAAGACAGTCATCTCAATTGAGTCTCTGTGACAGCAAGTAGAAGAGGAGAATAGCCCCTATACAATGAAGAATAATATGTTGCTCTATCATGAAAGATTGATAGTGTCTGTTCAGGAAGAAACTCTTATAGCTGCTCTGCTAAAGAAAATTCATGATCAGATCTCAACAGCACACTCAGAAGGACAGAAGACTCTGACTCTGATTCACTCTCACTATTGATGAATCATCTGACAGACAGATGTCTTACACTATGTTCAGAACTGTCATACATGCTGAGTTAGTAAGATTTCAAGAGACAAAGCTTCTGGCCTGCTAAAGTCACTATCAATACCAGAACAGGCATGACAGCATATTGCAATGGACTTCATGAATGTGTCAAAGAGCAAAAGTGACTGTGATGTCATTCTAGTTATAGTCTGCTGATTAAGCAAGAAGACAATTTCAGTTTCTATCACCTGTGAAGTTACAGCTCATGAGCTGACTTGATTATTTATTCAATTCTACTATTTCTATAATGAGGCACCAGACTTGATTGTCTCTGATCACAGTCCTCAGTTCATATCAAACTTCTGAAATGAGTTCACAGAAATTCTAGACATAAAGTTGAAACTCTCAACAGCACATCATGCACAGACAGATGAGCAGACAGAGACAACAAATCAGTATATTGTCACACACCTTCACTCATATGTTAATTACTATCAAAATGACTGAGATGAGTGATTACTCATTATAGATCATGCTTCTGCAGTCATCTCAAACATCTTCACTAGAATCTTCTTCTTTCTAGCTGCAAATGAATATGAGTTATGAACATTATTTGACTGAAGGCCCCTGCCAAGAGAACTAAGAGCAGGGAAGAGGACAAATTGAAGGACTGCTCAAAACTTTGTTAAACAGATGAAAGAGATCTGAGAGTGAGCAGGCAAGGGCATGAAGACAGCACAGGAACAGATAAAGAGGCAGACTGACAGACATCATCAGAAATCTGACTTCACAGTGGAAGATTTTGTCTACTTGACATTGAAATCATACAGAATTGACTGATCAAGCTGTAAGCTGACAGCACAGAACACAGGTCCCTTCAGAATTCTAGAGAGGGTGAGCAACACCTATAGACTGGACCTCCTCACAATCATGAAAATTCATCTAATCTTCTCCTCAGACAACCTGCACAAAGATTCAAAAGACCCCCTACCAGGGCAGACTGTCAAACCACCAGATCCAATTGAGATAGATGGAGAAAATGAATGAGAAGTGGAGCATATATTAGTCAGTTGAATAAATCAAGACAAACTGCAATATCAAGTCCACTGGAAGGAATTTGATGAGGACTCATCTTGGTACTCAGCTCATGACTTCAAAGGATCACCACACACCATATACGACTTCCATGAAGCTAATTCTACAAAAGCTGGACCTCCAAGGTGACTAAATGAGTGGCTGAAGGCATGGGAGACAGACAGCTACCTGAAGGACAAGGTTGATGATGACCTACCAGCATGAGGACATGCCTGTCCCTAGACTGGGGGGTGATGTTAGACTCAGTGCCTGACCGAGCCCGACTGAGGCCCAGTGCCCGGTTAGACTCGACATTGGATTAAGCTTGGCGCCCGATTAGGCCAAATATTCTCACGTGATCAAATGACCATGCAGGTGGTTATAACCCAGGCAGGCCCCAGCACCTCTTTCATCCCATCAAGCTTAGTATTTCATTATATAGCAGTTAGCAACGCAGAGAGTTTCCTTCTTATGCAGCTTGCATTCACTCCCTAACATTCTTTCTCAGAATACATATTAACATTTTATGAAATTAATTTATAATGTAATATTAAAAACTTTTGAAATAAGCTCATTGTCAGTTTTAAAATATAATTAAGAAGAGAATTATGAGAACACTTGAGATGACTGAACTAAGTGTCAAAGAAAGTGTGAGAAGCACTATAACTAATATTATAAAAGAGTAGAAATATAAATACTACAAGCATTATAAAGAGAAGAGAATAATAATGAGTGAAAATATAAATGTAGAATATTACAATACAGCTGCTTGTATATGAATTAAGATTGATCCACTCTGATTTTCAATAATCTTCACTTCAAAGGTTGATCTGTTTCAATCTGCAACCACCTCTATATATTTGGCTGTTCATGTAACGGCGTAGAACGGTTCCGTCCAGACTTCTCGACAGTCTAAGGCCGCTGGGTTGAAAGGGTAATTGCAACTGCCTAGCAACGGCATAGCAACTCAACCCACCATTACCCCGAAAACAAATACCCCGTAAACACGGGAACCGCCTAGAAACCACGCTAAGGAAAGGGGTATATAAACAGAGCCTTCCCCGAACCCATGTTTTAGGAACCATCTTAGTATTTCGTCGAGATAGCTTACCTAGCTGGCAATCGAACACCTGTTTCACCTGCGCCTAGATCGAAGCCGTGACATCAAGCAGCAATTTTCAGAGTGAATGAAAGGTGTTCTGCAGCAGTGATGATCAACATTTCTCACAAGAGAAGCATCATCAATAACTGACACGTAGCAGCAGCAGTAAATGAGAGAATGTAAGTCAATAAACTGCTTCTTGTAAATGTCTAAGATGCGCACAAAACTGTTTTTGCCATGTCACTCAGGCATAGCAAAAGGTGCAGCTAGATGTATTCTAACTTTGTCTTAAATTGTAGTCGTTGAATGCGTAAAATTCCATACACTTCTTTGAACCCTCTGAAGAATCATGAATCAGTGGATTTAAATGACTAATCAATTATGCTCAGATAAAGGAGTGCACAATTCTATTAGTTGACTTATGATTCTCATGACAGCAGCAAAGGTTTTTGTGACGATTTGCTAGGCTCCCTCCCCGTATCACATGACCTCCTGGCTTCTATTTAGGCGTTCCCATGAACCATCACACGGAAAAACGCAAAGAAAGAATGGCAACCCAGAATCATGTTGGCAGGGCATATCCCTAGCTGCCATACTATGGGCGCTCTAGGCCCGATTGCATATCATCGAATAGCTTTTCCACGGCTTCTTTGTCAGGTATCGCACCTATTTCCAGGTCCGCCTGGGCCCAAACACGGTGGCTGTCTTGGTTTGCATATTGTCTCAGAGTCGGATTGTCAGCATTTTTGTTTATCTGGAATTTATATCACTTATATCGCTTTCCGCCCTTCTCGTAGGTCTCGCCATGGTCAAGACGGCTGCCGATGCTTGTGTCATTATTGCTGCTTTGCGTAGGGGCCGCTGAGGTGCCAGCGATGCCCTCTCCTGTCGCAATCTTGGTCACCCGGGAAGGAGCGGCAAACACCCAGTTCCGGAGCCGTTTGAGGGAGTCAACTACTTGACGGCTCATACTGTCAGATGACAATGATTTAATAGGTTCGGTATTCTCTGCTGGTGTGCTGTGAGGCAATCACGACAGTTTTTAGCACGTGTAGTATATCAGGAGCACCGCATCACTTACCAAGAATGGGGTTTCATAGGTGGATGGATGGTGAATGGACAACCAGGACTGACGTCTGGCGAGCACCTCCTTATATATACCTGCCCGCGCAACCCCCCACGAGGGTCAAAGCATATGAACTGCATGCCCTCACTTCCCGCCTATCATCCGGACTGCTCCCTACGCGCTTGGAGCCATTGACGCTTCAAGGATTAGCCAGCCCAACCAATCACATCTTCTGCCTTGCCACCAGAAACAGGCATTCACCATTCAGAGAGCACCTTGGCAGCATCAAACCTGAGAGATCTCAATCCCACTAAAATGAGAATGAACCAATAGTTAACAAGCCTCTGCATCAGCAATTTAGATATCACATTTGTTCTCTCACCCAACCAACTATCTTGATTCTAAAAGAGATGTAATCTTCGCATCAATTACTGAATGGCCATTCTTCCTCCCACACCTTCTCTTCATTTTGGTTTCGGGCAAATTCTCGTATGATGAATTCCTTGGCCTGACACAGAGCATTCTTAGCCTCTTCATACTGCTCTGGCCTCACAATGCCTTGTTCCGGAAATAAATCCCCAAGGCTGTCCTTGATGCTCTGCATTGCTTGCATACCGAGTGATGATCCATTCACATCTCTTTCAATCTCTGCTTTTTCCTCATCAGAAAAGTAGAATGGGTACTGATGATCTTTGCCTTCTGAGGTCACAACGCCAGGAAGGTCTGCCCATGTGCCCTCTAGTTCAACAATGCGAGCGAGGTAGGTCGCTTCACCATCAATCAGAAGATTTCGAGCAAGGAGTAGGAGGTCAAAGCTAGGGCTTTCTCTGTATTCTAGCACGCGGTATAGCCGTGGGTTTGTTCTATGGACAAATGTTCTGTATAATGAACATAAGGCTTGCTTGTTATATAGAGCTTTGGCTTCTTTTTGGGCTTCATTGTCCAGCCTGAGTAAATTCTCGGGCAAGCTAGGCCTTTCGAGACCATGAAGTTGGGGGCCGTCGTAATCCAGAAGGTGAGGCTGGCGTGCATGATGAAATAACGGAGCTAGCTCAGTGGATTGCCAGTCAATGATTCCGACGATTTCTGTGGGGGATTTAGAGTCCACGAAGATGTTTTCAACGTGGAGATCACCGTGCCAGAGACATGATGATGTTATAGATTGGTCAACTGGACAGAGATATCTGATCATGGTGAGATAGAGCTCTAGAGCTCTGAGTTTCCTTGCCCTTGTGGGCTGGTACGTCCCTGGACCATACAGCGCCATTGGTGATTTGGGCAAATTTGGGAGCGCTTTCACACAGGCGATCTCTTGACGGCCTATTGCTGTAAGGTTCTCTCGCACTGTCGACCCAATGTTCTCTTAGTTTGAGGGTTTCACAACTCATAATGGAGGGACTTACACGGCCCACGGTCAAATTGAACAGTTCTCCTCCCATTATCAACTTTCTCTCTGCCTGTGGATGGCCCAATGACAAATCTCTCATCCAATAGTGTGGCCCCTCCGCTATTGTAAGACATGCTTTGATGCCTAAAACCATCGAGGTCTTGTGCAAAGTACAGACCACCAAAGTGACTAAATGAAACAGACATCCGCGCTTTTTGGTACTGAACAATAGTTTTTACTACTGCAAGGCGGTCCCCGATTTCCATGTGAGGCCAGACTGAGCCTAGCGGCACGCCATGAACCTTCTCCATAATGATATACTCCGCGCCCACAGAGTTTGGGCCCGAGTTCCAGGAATATACTTTGGGAACAGGAGTTTTGCATACGCTGCGCACCTATTAACAATAAATCAACAGAGACTCAGTAGTTGGGGTGAAGAATAGGTAGGTACAAATTCCATTGTCGCTACTTCACTGGCAGTAGTAAGATGAGGAAGGCCAGCATTAGGATTAGGAATCTTCGCCACGGCTTGCATGCCATTGTCCATAGTAAGCAGAAAAGCTTTATTGTACATGCCATCAGGGTACTTCTCGACTTTGAGGCAAGATTGGGCACCAACAGCTGCCGCTCCGACACGGGCTAACTCCTCAACGTCAAAATGGATGTATCGCTGCGCCATTTCATGAGCTTCATTTTGAATGAATCGGCCACGTGTGAAACGAAAAAAATTCATGGTCCGAACTCAGCGCTGTATCAGATTAACACTGCTGAACTGCATGTTTTCAGCAGTAGCAAACTCACACGACAAGGAGGAGTAGCAGGCCTGCGAACGACCCGCAGACATGGTGCGGAATGGGGTCTGGCAGATTGAGAAACGGGGTACCCAGCGTCGACTGATAATGCGAAAAGGCTCAAGGATTTCCTTAACCATCATCACCATATACAGGCGATAAATGTCCGAGGCTGATGATCAAGATTGATTTTTGCTCTGCCCGCAACGTCAGGTAGCTCAGCTACCTGAAGCAACGGTAGACTATCACTGACAAATGTTCAAAATTTTCAAGATATGTTGTCCTGGTGGTTAGGAAGGGAAAATTATTGACCTCTGCCGCCGGAAAAATATTGTTCCTCATAATTCTTAGCGTATCACGTGTTCATTCAGAAATAAGGAATGTTCATACAACAGAGCAATGATAAGCATCAAGCAAGCACAATGCCTACGACAGAACTCCACACTACTTGAAATGCTCTCACAAATCCTCATGTTGAATTTGACGAGCTGATAACACCTAGCAATGCTAGCACTGTCAAACCATGCAAAGCTTTCCTAAACGGTTTCATCACCCTCTCGAATGCAGAAGTGACGAGGAGGATATGAGGGCAGAATTGCAATATGCCCAAAAAAAGGGGAATCTTGTATACGGAGTTAGAAAGTCAAGAGCAGGAAATCCAAAGGTTTGTGGCTTCTCATGGTGGGTTGCCATGCCCCGACCTGGTACAAGTTCCAAAAATGGTCGAACAAGACAGCAACAAGCTTGTGTGGCTCCATGGAAGCTTGAACTTGTGTATCCCTATACATATCAACAACTCCGGACAATCACAACCTGAAAAGATGTCATTCAGGGTGCCTTTGCCGTATAAGATTGGTGAGGAAGAATTCCCTGGCAATGCGGAGGATAAGGTACCGTCTGAGGCTGCAACATACATCTGAATCAATAAGAACTGTCCGGATATAGCAATCCCCAAGCTACGAGGGTTTGGAGTTCCTGGTGGCCTTAGTGCGAGTACATATTAATCTCCAGCAGCTGTTTGATACCCGGCTAATATTTAGTGGGCACATGATCAATGATATATTGAACCGTAGTAAGCGTAGCAAGCGCGCTCCAAGTATAAAAAGTAAGTGAAGTGAGCGAAGCATGGTTTGTTAAGTTACTAAAAACAAAATTAAAAAAAAAAAAAAAAGGGCAAAAGTGTACATAATTTAAACAGTTGAATTCAATATAAGGGAAGGCCTAATCAGAGAAGAAGCTACTGAACCTGCTCAGCTCATTGAGCAGCTTGTCATTTTACACAAAAGATACAGCCGTTGCAGCAGAGTTGGGGGCACATAAGGTTAATTATGCCCTGAACCTAGTGTCATTTATTTAATTTAACTAATTAATAAGTGGTAACTACTCCCGGAGTTGAGTGTAGGTTACAAGGCATTTGAAATATTTTCAATTCAACCTTATTTGGGGAAAGTTTCCTCAGAATCAAAATTGGAGATGTCCACCTCGACAAACGAGTCAGACTTCATGAAATCCACAGGGAAGAAAAACTTGGAAGAAACCTCTATTTTTGGATAAGCGTGGTCGATAGGTAGCTACGGTGTCTAACCCCAACACGGATGCCTGCAGCTTTTCTCCAAGATCCCAACTTCGCTCGTCGTTTTACCCCAAAATTTGAGCACCAGAACCACACTGGGGCCCTCCTACGGATTCCGTGCTCTCAATTTAGTACTGATCAAATAACTAACTACCCACTTTTTGTTAAGTCTTCCAGTTTTGGTGTTCTGCAGTGCGGTCCACCACTTTACGGAGGAGTTACATGGGATCAGTTTAATAACAGAGCTAAGATCTCTGTGCAGGGACCGAGGCCAAAGAGAGTCGTCACACAGACGCAGGACGAATATTCAGGACTCTTTTTTTTTTTTTTCCCAGGGGAGAAACTGAGGAATAATGTTCTGCAAAAGACCATCACCATCAAAACATAGCGCACGTTTGATTTCTAAGAGAGTCTGCGGATGACGCTTCTGCATTGCATTATTATTCCCTTTTACCTGTTACAATTGGTCACCACCAGCTCATGGACGGATAACACAAAATTCGTACGCATTTTATTCCCTTCACTTCGGGGACCAGGGACGCCCATTGACATCATCGGATCACCATCACTCACCCTTTCTCGAGATCTTCCCACCCCTCTGGAGCTACAAATATATACATAAAAAAAAAAAAAAAAAAAAAAAAAAAAAAAAAAACCTAAAAGGTGGTGGGTGTTAATTGGGAATTTATCTTAGCTGGGCATTTTTGGGGGTTTTAAGTGTCAATATCCCGCAGTTATAATAAGGGGGGAGCCCTCCATGAGTGGAAAACATGGAGGCGCAGTTTCTCGGTATTCAACACCGAAAACTTAATGCAAAAATACTCAAGCCGTATGTAGAGACTCTTGCCAGCTGCTGCGATCAATGATTTGCGTCAGTGGTGTGCGTTTACTTTCACGTCAGTTATGCGTTTCCTCCCATGGATTTGAAGCTGATGGCTTGATTCGAACTGCAGAATATTTCGCGCCCACGCTCTGGGATATCTTACTGTAACTGGACCTAAACTTATAACTTTTCTAAAAGTTTTTCGCAGAAAAGATTTGACCAACGAAGATAAACTTAACCGTGTGCGTCAGGATTTCTTTCATTCCATCATCCCGCGTTCTGTGATCTATTCTGTTTTCTAGATTCCATCCAACCAAGCTGTATACAAATGCAGAGTACAAACCGAGAAATGCTGACGTTTGGCTACTTCCCTTGAATAGCTCTTAAAAGTTTTAAGCGATGCCTTGCACTGGAATAGATTCCCTGCATTTTGCGCGCTGCTCGTTGGAGGGTCAACTTTATTACCAGCCATTGTTGAGCCTCTATTCACCAAAGCTGTGAATAATCGACGATTCAAAGCTCGACCAGTTGTGGCGCAGAGCTCACTGCGCCCTATTCGGTTTTTTGCAGCCTTTTTATCAGCGTGGCTGTGCTTCCCGATCCTCAACTCTAAAAAAGGGGTAGCACAACCTCTTTCCGTTTCGGAGGAGAAAGAGGGAGAGGCCGCAATCGATGATGTAACTCCGAAAGCAAAAGGCAGCCGGCAAAAGCTCCCAGGCCCTCCTGGTCTGGCTGGAAGGACTCTTGACCTAAGTCTTTTTGCCCTTATTCGAGCAATTGACGCCCTTGTATGCATGGCATGGGTTCGTTGGCAGAAACATCGAGTGTCCCAAAGTAAATGGACGCACGCGGAGTCCATAGCCCCTCAACTGACAGATGCTTGTCTCTTTGCCACAAGTTCCGCAATCGTCATGTGGGCCTGGTTCTATCTACCAGAAAGATTACCCGAATCGTACTGCAAGTGGATTGAGGAGGCAGCTCAGGTTGATAGCCGGCTTATCGACGTGCTCCGATCCGCCAGAAGAGGCGAGTGGGAGTATGGAAAACCATCAGAGAACAAGCCGCCATTACAGTCCATGTGCGAAGACTATGGCTTACCTACTGAATGGGGGAATCCGGAGAAAACAATCCCGTTTCCGTGCGAGCTTGTCCACATGGGTTGCGGCCCTAGCTGTGAGAGACATGCCATCTGGAGGTTCGTCAAGGCATTCAAATTTGCCTGTGCCACGTACCTTCCGCTACATCTGGCGTTGCGGTGGAAATCACGGTCGATAGCAGTACTCTTAAACGCGGTGAAAAACGCCGTCCGCTCCTCTGCTTTCCTTAGCTTCTTTATCAGCATTTTCTACTATTCCGTTTGCCTGGCGCGAACGAGATTAGGACCGAGATTATTCAGCCGTAAACGAATCACGCCAATGATGTGGGATTCCGGGCTTTGTGTTGCTGCCGGATGTGTGATGTGTGGATGGAGTATTCTGGTTGAGAATGCGAAGAAGAGGTTGGAGGTTGCGCTTTTTGTGGCTCCGAAGGCTGCGGCAACCTTGCTGCCAAGAAAATATGCTGAGAAGGTATGCGAATTTTAATTATTTTCGTTAAGTCCTTGGATGGGGATTCTTTACCTGATTTAGGCAAAAGAAGGGCCGATTTTGTTTTGCTAACTATATTTTCCTCCCCATCAACAGTATCAATGGAGAGAACAAGTCGTATTCTCGCTCAGCACGGCAGTAGTGCTAGCTTGCGTCCAGGAACGGCCGGAAATGATTAGAGGCGTCTTGGGAAGGGTCTTGGGACATGTTTTCAATGATTAGGGTGGTAAGAAGGTGTTTCAGAAGCTAAATTTTTGAAGGAAATTGCTTCCCGGACTTTGGTCCTTAACGTTATTTGGATTCGATTTGAAATAGTTAGAGAAAAGGATACGGAACTCCGTCAAAAATTAGTTCTCTCTCTCGAGTAACATGTTGGGGATTTGTTTCATGAGCAATTGAAATTCATGATCAGGGAAGTAAAACTTTTTGCTCAAAGATGAGCTCTAGATAGTTTATATTATTTTCTCTTGATAATATTCACCATTCAGCCACTTGAAAGATTTTCTATCGTATTCAATTTGCTGATCGTCAGCCAGATTGTTTCTGCGTTCTCCAACGAGCCAAGTCACGTGAAATCTCATCCGATCCGGATTGATTGTATCGAAAACTTCAAATGAGCTTTGTTCAATCTAATTTCACACCTTCCGCACATATCGAGTTACTATGTTGCCACGGATAGCACCATTCTGGAGTCGAAGGCTTATAGGCCTGCTCCCATTTTCGACTGCTTCATTTGTCTGTAAGCAGCAGCGCTATGCTCCTCAACGAGCCTTCTCCGCGCCAGCAGTGCGGCAGCCAGAAACGCCATCACCGGCAATGCAGAGCAAGATGTCACACGAAAGAAATCAATCTGCCTTGTGAGTGTTTTTCTGCTTCTTTCTTATGGTTGGTTTATACCAATACATCTTTAGGTACTATGCTATGAGCGTAATTATCGGAACAATTGCTCTCGCCTATGGGTCGGTTCCCATGTACAAAATGGTACTTGAACTTTTCAATCTTATACCACTGCTCATCATCCTAATAGAGCGCTGTAGATATGCCAGCAAACCGGCTGGAATGGTCAGCCCATTCAAACCCTCCGCACAGAAAAAGACCCTGCCTCCCGCCTCAAACCAGTAACCTCTTCCCGCCGACTACGAATTACCTTCAACGGATCCGTATCCGATGTCTTGCCTTGGAAGTTCACACCCCAACAGCGGGAGGTGAGAGTTCTACCAGGTGAAACCGCGTTGGCATTCTACACGGCAACGAATAAGGGACCAAATGATATCATCGGGGTTGCCACGTACAGCGTGACTCCCGCACAGGTTTCGCCGTACTTCAGCAAGATCCAATGCTTTTGCTTCGAGGAGCAACGGCTTAGTGCGGGAGAATCGGTTGATATGCCTGTATTCTTTTTCATCGACCCTGATTTTGTCAATGACCCTGCCATGAGGTCAATTGACACCATTACCCTCTCGTACACCTTCTTTAGTAAGTTGGAGTCTGGAGAAATTTTGCCGACGTTCTGTTTATGATTCGGACGCTAATGGATGCTGCTACAGAGGCTCGATATGATTCAAATGGGGTACTGAAGCCAGAACCAGGGATGGCGACTCCCTAGCATGCCCTTAATTATTTGCGCGAGGGACAGCGTCCAACTTGCGTAGTGATTCCACGAAACTTTGGCTTTTGGGGGTAATATCTCTATTTCCGTCATTCGGGGATGAGCAGTAAAACGTCGCTAGTTATACATGGGGGATAAGTGACCCATTCCAGACACATTTGATCTCTCTGCACGCTCCATCCTAAATGGCAATTGAGCCCGTTTCGTTCAATCTTCACTCAAACACTTCAGAACCATCGACTTGTTTCTGGGCAGGTTCGAGAGCTATATAGAGAAACTCATTTTGGAATGGAGCGGGAATGAATTTCTGTGTCTTATATATATTGCAC